TTTTAACAAAACGCATTTAACTAGCAGGTCGAACAACGGATGTTCTTAAACCCTGCTGACTGCCATTGGCGATTGCCAAATAAACGGATCACCAGATGTAACAAAATGGATCTTAACCATTAATTTAATACCAAACAGAAAAAAATAAACTTGCGGAACAATTATTACTATATTATAACCATTTTATTTGCAAATAACACCCATATGGTCTAACTAACAAAAAAACACAAAATATAACACAATATTAACACAGCAGTCAAACATTTAAACGTAAAACAAACACATAGTAATGTTAATGTAACTTTTGCTGGACATGGAACTCATTTTCTCTAAAGATTGCTTTAAAAAGTCACCAACTGTTGTCAAAAGTACAGATTCAGGATTTAAAAGTTGTTCAATATTGAACAGTGGTTGAGAATTTGTAAAACCAGGTTTTATATTATCGCTTTTTTTAAATAACTGATCTCTTGAAGTTGAGTTCAGTTTACAATCTAGAAAAAATCCTATTCATCATCAGCATCTTGGGGTTAAAAAAAATGAAGCCATCATCGAAAATTTGCGCAGTTCTGTTTCGGCTGATATATTACATGCAGTATTTATTATGAATTATTTCGTAGCAAAATTTATCTTCTAAAGACAAAGTATCCAAAAATGTTAAATTGTTCATATTGTTTACCTTTCAAGTAAAGGAAAGATAACTCTGAAAGATAAGTGAAAAAGTGCAAAAATGACCAGACCTGAGATATGGATATATACATGTGTTTGATTCAAAGGATAGAATTTCTCCATCACCTAAGCTTGTTTCAATTTTTGAATTTGTGTTGACTTTTAAAAAGAGTCATGGTAGCTATTATGAGTTTTCTTCAAACTACCCTCTTGAAGTTTCGTCCTTTTCATCTGACACAAGCGTGATTGCGAGAGGCTTTAGCTGTGTATAAATATATGAGTTTATTTTGTTTTAGATATTATATGATTTTTTTTAAATTTTAACCATGATAACTCAAATGTATTGTTAAAATAGCGCAAATGTCCTATAGAAACAGCGCAAATGTCTTTTGAAAGCATAAATGTCCTGAAAGTTAAAGCTCAAATGCCATTTAAAAGGCCCAAGTGTCCTATTATAAAGCACAAACGTCCAGCGACGAAACATTATTCATAAAAAATATTTCTTTTTCTGTTTTTAATATCGTAAAAATGTGTTCAAGATTTTCATGATGAGGACATAGATTCCGACTATTTGATGAATTATTGTAATTGATATCCTAAAAACTCACGAAATCGCGTCAGACATAGATATAAGAAGATATGTGGTATGAGTGCCAATGAGACAACTCTCCATCCAAGTCACAATTTATAAAAGTAAACCATTATATGTCAAAGTACGGTCTTCAACAAGGAGCCTTGGCTCTGCTCAAATCGCACAGCAAGCTATAAAGGGCCCCAAAAATCACTAGTGTAAAACCATTCAAACTGGAAAACCAACATGTTAAAGGGAATAAACGAACTTATCTGACTCGTAACCCAAATTCAATCTCCTCTTTGTTGAGCGAGGAACTAATATAACTTTATATATAATAACGGAAAGGGTGTAAATTGTAACGTTTAAGTTATTATGTGCATATCAAAATGATATTTTTAAAAATAAATGAATTGTGTTAATCTGTTAAATGAATGAGCGCAAACATAATGAAAAGCTGCGCGCAAATGTAATGATTTTTACGCGCAAATGTAATGGTTATGTGCGCAAATGCAAATACAGTTGATTAATTCAAATGGGCCAAGCATATCATCAATAAACATACGATTATCAATTCATTTCACCAAGTACGTTTATGAGATAACATCGTAGATTTCAATCTATCATCCTAATTAATCACGGGATTTTGTAAATACTTTAATTTTTAAGGCCAAATGAAGCCCGCACCGCACCTTCTCCTTTAGAAATTCAAATATTTATTTTGAGCCTTTAAGTTAGACAAAAGCTTGATAATGGACTACCTATGTGTTAGCAAGGCTTAGCGGTGTTAACCGAATGTGAATTCTGAAAATTTTTAAAGATCTACTAAAATTCATCATTCACAATAATTAATGTTTTGCAACAATATCTTTAAATTTAACATCACCTCCCCTCCCCCCCCCCCCCCCAAAAAAAAAACAAAAAACTTTAAAAAAAAAACAAAAAAAAAACAATACTATTCTTCAAGCTCAATTGAAAGATCCACTTCATCACAACAGTTAAAAGGTTCTGTGCCTACATGCATACATAAAAAAAGCATTCAGTATTCCAATTGGTAATATTTGTACACCTCAACTGGTCGAAGTGTATTTGTATTCTTCATGCAAAATCTCATCAAAGATAATATTCTTTAATGTCAAACTATACACCTTAATATCGATGGCTGAACAATGCAATCAACGGTTCACAGAAAGACAATATATTGTGCTGTGTCCAGAACAAACTCTACAGAATACCAATGCAGAAAAAAAAATATATGTTGATCTTGTTTCAAATTATGAATAGACGAAGTAATGTAAATCCTTAAAAAATAGCAGACGCAGTGCTTGAACAACGACAGAATGATGTAAACCTTTATCAATAAGTGTTTGAAACCATAGAGAAAAAATTGGGACATTTCTTATGCATGGATCATATACTTGTCAGCTTTGTAAATGATATAACATAATAGAGAAAATGGACCCAAAAAAATATAGTCTATATATATAAGTAATAGAACTCATTTAAAGTTTTGACCTATTTGTGATATCTATATCAAGTTTCAAGTGGTGGAGTTGAAATCATACCTTCAAAAATTTACGAACGCCATCACGATGGTCGTAACCACAATCCCGTCCTCTTTTTCTTGAATGTAACCTACTTTTCGCTGGGTTTTTATTTATACGACCAACACGACGGGTGCCACATGTGGAGCAGGGTCTGCTTACCCTTCTGGAGCACATGAGATCAATCCCGGTTTTTGCGGAGTTCGTGTTACTCATTCTTCTGTTTTCTGTGTTGTGTTTTGTAGACTGTTGTTTGACTTCCGGTCGTTTTCGTTTTTTGCCATGGCATTGTCAGTTCGTTTTTTGCCATGGCATTGTCAGTTCGTTTTTCGACTTATGAGTTTGACTATCAATTTGGTATCTATATTCCTTCTGTAAAAGTTTCTAATAATGAAAATACTACGTTCATTGAAATCTGCGGGACGTCAATATAAACACAAGCACATCGAACCAACTTAGATTGGTACACGTCATAAGAAAGAGCAAACGGAGAAAAATCTATATTGCTTACTGGAAATATATTGTCTAAATATCTACAGACTGATATTATTAAAAAATGTATCAAGTGGTGTTTCATAGAGTCTTTGGGAAGTTTGGACATAAACTGTGATTTATAATAGTAATTGAATAAATCTGCGATTAGAGGGGCACAGTTAGTTCCTAGAAAGGAAATTGTATCGACTGCAGTATAATATAGCTATACAAAGATTTATCGAAAGACCATTTTATTAAATAAGAAAATTTGTCTTTGAAAAGATTGTGTTGCAGTGTAGCATATGGAGTAGAAATTCAAAATTTTCAAAGACTTCCAATGAGTTTTTTCACACCCCAGAAATAGTTTTTTAACATATATCATGACTATCATGAAACATAACCTTCGTCAGAATATTTATTCACGAGTACCTTAACGGTTATAAGAGCTTAGTGTTAAGAAACAGTTTTCATTTTAGTCGTTGTTGAAGTGTGTTTATCATGTTTTAAATTGAAGTTGAAGGAATGAGCGTTTTCGAAATTGTGATCGCAGTTTTGAGTACTTCAATATAGTATTTACACGCCAAACAATGACAACGTCGTTGGCTGCTTTGTTAACAAGTACAAACACTTAAAACTCTTTCCGCCGGTATTCGAATTTATTTTAGAGTCTAGCTACAATAAAAGATAAATAGAATAAGTAATCTTTATTTTAAGAGGATAAACCCATTAGCCGAAGCCAATCTTCGTGGGGTCCTAAAAAAGTTAGATATACACTAAGTATTCGATATACGTGTCAAATAAATACATTTACAGTGCATTCAAAGTCTACTCATTAAATAAAAGTAAAAGTAACATTAACATTTAAATCGTTTTACCGATTTAGAATCTTTTAAATTTGCAGCAAATTATTCCATATTTCTGCACCTGCTTACATTAATGGTTTCTTCATGAAATTGGTCTTTGCCGCTTTGGCAGGTGTAATTTTTTTTATTGCTAATGGAACGTTACTGATAATTTAGAATGATGACATACTGAAAATTTTCTTTTTAATTTTCTTCTCAATATTAATCCATTTTACACTGTTAAATAGCACTGCTGACATTTATCGATAATGTCAGCTTTTAAAATCGGTTTTGCTGACCTCTTTAATTATTTGTCTATTTTTTTTATATATAAAATGTTTCATAAAACAGTTTCCCAAATGGTAAAACAATAACCCAATATCGGTAGAATATATAGTCCAGAGACATATGCATTGAAATAAATAATTTGTGTCTGCATAGTACATGTAGGACGATACTTCCTCACAGTCGAGTTAGTATCAACTCTGTGACTTTCGAAATGTTGAATATGATTATCATTTCTCGAGATTCAATCTTTTTTTTCATGAAAAATTTCATTGGTCGTAATGATGATCTTAAACCTCGAAATTTTTACAGTAATAGGCGCATAAAATGATTTATAATGTTTGGGTGTTCAAATATTCAAAGTGAAAATGTATCTGTTTTATTTCATTTCATATTTAAAAACAAATATATATATTATTTCATAAAGTTTTTTATTTTCTTTTAGGTTTAAGATCTAATAACATTTTTCAGGAAATTTTTATCGATATTCACATGCATCAAATGAGTTATGATCTTTTACAAGTCTAAACGTACATAGTGAAAGTTATAGCGTTGGTTCTTTTTTCTTTTTTAACGCAGGTAGTTGGACTAACTCCGATCCGTTCCACGACTCAAACACCATTTCCGGATCAAAACAAAGATGGCGTCCGGGACAAAATGGTAAGATCAATCAAATGTTGCTAAAACGTTCATGCTATACTTGCCTCAAAGCATAACATTTTGGCGGTTTTGATATCTTGAATGAACCAGAAATCGGAATAGTCAATGTCGGCACATTTTGTTATAAACCTTTTAAATACTGACCACTTCAATAAGTAGGTCATCGAAGGGGGGAGTTAGTTGCCATGTAAATTTGTAATGTGATCCTTACGTTTGATAGCAATTTGTCCGAATAATAATAAAATATTGTATTTCAAAAGACTATCTTACATTTATTTGATAAACAGATGTCATGCCTTCAAAATGAAAGAAATCGTAAGGACATAACATGTTTTGTTCCTCAAATTTAACAAGACGTCCATAGCCGTTATACAAATTTCCTGACAAACAAAAGAAACCTTGAATTTCTTAATTACATGATTCATTTCAGTTTTTCTTATTACATTATGATTCTTCTAGATGTTCAGATAAATTGATATTATTAATCATAGAATCTTACTGCAGAAATCGTAGTAAGTGTTGACCTTATAATTTGATGTGTTCAGTGTATCAAAATTATGACTGCATCTTCAGTTTATTGTTTCTAAGGTAAGAAGACAATAATGTTATACATTGAGATTACTGTCATTATACATATTTGGCACAACCAATGAAATGCGAAATAGTTAACAAAATTGTATATTGTTCCATGTTTTGTATAACAAGGGAAGTAAAGGGAAACAACTGTAATTTGTTGACATTCATTTGTACATGTATACAGTCAGCAACAGTATGAGGATCTTCAAGTTATTTTCTATGTTGATGTCACAGAAAAGAATGACAGTCAGATAACAAAAAATATTTCAATCCCAATTTTTTTTCATGGTCAATCTGAATGTACAGAAATTAAACATACAGCATTTACAGTATTTATTAATTTGGGACTGGCCATATAGATTTATTTACACTTGTAAGCAAAGTTGTCTGCCATTACATAAAATCACACAAGTTCCCGCAATATATTGCGTTATAATTTTATATATAATTAAAAAAAATGAAGTTATAATTAAAAAGTGATTATTTTTTTTATGTCAGAAGGTCATGAAGGTTATTCAGAGACAGATCTGGGGTCATTTTTAGATAAATCTAGGGTCATTCAGAGACAAAATTCAGCTAAATACCAAAAGTAAATACGACAATTTGGAACATGGCTCTACTGAATCTAGCTGCGGAACAGTAGCTATAATGGTCCTTGTGATATTTTTTCACAATCAATGTACGCAAATTGTCAAAAAAATATAAGGACCATAACAGCTACAGTTCCGCAGTATTTTCATTTATGATTCATGATTACATTATATAAGATTCACAATTACATTATCATGGTTATATGAATTTCATAGTTAATTATATGTTGTGCTTGATTATGTTGATTAAAGGCTCAATTTTTTGAAAATCATATTATATTAGTAAAAAGGCATCTTATAACAATCCAAAAATCCACAAAGTATATGGGCTAGCCATGTTTTTATTGGAAACAAAAATGTTGACTATGGTAAGGTTCTTGTTATAAGGTGCATTATTCTGTCTAAACCTGCCATATCAGAAAGTTGTGTTTCCTCAGGATTCGTCCTGGTTACACATGTTACACTAGCTGAGTCCTATCATCATGGATAGTATCATTTAGCTGTTAAAAAATATCCCAAAACGTGATTCCTTTCATTTTTTTTTTCACCATGAATTGACTTTCATTTTAATGCATTATTTGAGTAAAGACAAAATCAGAGACAAATGAAATAATGATGTAATTGATCACTTGATTGGCTACGGCTAATGGGATGAAACGGTTTAAACCAGATCAAAAAAGAAAATAATTTAACTTCAAAGCCTGTGTGTTTAGAAGCAATAAACTTGTCAAGGGAAGTCAATGAATTATATGTACGATTACCAAACCAATGTTTTTAAATGGATAAGTACAATATGTAAAACAATGGAAATAATGTATACAATTAAATCAGGATTCTAAATAAACAGTTACCCACTGAACCTTTTGCCATTAAATTTCAGGACAGGCAAGTAAAACTTTATGGACATCTGCCCGCCTGGCTCCTTCATTTTGGTAGTACATGTAGTTACACTGAAAATAGGGCAAATTATATTTTCACCTATATGTATAGATATTGTTCTTTACAGCAATGTTTTTTTGATTCACCTGCTACATGTACCTTAATGCCAAAAGTTGTCAACAAATAATGTGTAAATCTTAGAAAAAACCTGACTAAAATTTTTTTTTTAAAATGGCTAACTGAAAACATAGGTAAATGCAGTACAGGATCCATTTACAAAGGCGGATAAAGCTATACATGGTTCGATCAGGAATCCCTTACCACATATTTTTTTCGGTCTAATTTTATGGACATGAACATGTACAATGTATGCAAAGTGAAAGATACTTAGATGAGATGTGAAGGAGACGATTTGCAATGCATTATCTAATTTTACGATATTAAATGATCTGAATGGAAATTTTGCATACATGTATGTATGTTGCTAACGAATACACTTACATGACTTATACAATGTAACTGATTGAATGTAAAAAATATACATGTAAATATATACAAATTGCAGATCACTAAAAACTAATGGTTTTTGCCTTTCAGTAATATGAGATTCTTGCAAAAATCTTGAGTGCTCAGAAAGTTAAACATACATGCATACAGTGTTCTCCCCAAATATTTCATTTAGCATCCTGGTAAACAGGGGAAATTGAAATACCATCTTCAATGTTTCTAAAAATTATAGCATCACATCCATAACATATAATCTATAAGATCGATGGTTTTCTCGGGGCACTCTGGCTTCCTCCACCAATAAAAACTGGCCGCCACAAAATAGCCCAAAAGCGGTGCTTAAAAATGGCGTTAAACACCAAAAATCAAATCAAATCAAATCTATAAGAAATCACTTCAGATAGCATCACATTTAAGATTATAGCACCACATTACCATGATGCTAAAAGGCCCTGGGGAGAACACTGGCATATTCTGCTTCACATATAATTATCATCAGATGTTAAAATATAGTTGTTCGTACACATTGTATATATATATAATTGATTCTCATTTCTCAATGTTTGTTTTCTTTATAGGTCCATATTGACATGTAGGACGCCACACAACTAATCATGTTATTACAAAGATGGAAAAACAGTTTTCTCCCAGACCCTAAACATGGAAAATCAAGATACCGAATTAATAAAAAATGTAGAAAGTAATTCTGTGGATAAAACGGAAAGTGACTCAAAAACTATAAATGGAGTAAAAAAGGAAACCTACGATGGAACTAGTAATAATATAGTACCGTTATCTAGTACACAAGAAATTACAGACAATGTTCACTCAGTGTCAAACAAAGTTATAGAAAATATTCATCCCACAAATAAAAACGTGTCAGAATCTTTGACAGAATCTCTATTTGATGATCATTCCAAAGATTTAACAAATGTAGACAAAGATAACTTGACACAGGAAGGTCAAACTACAGGGAATCAGGATAATGTAGTTATTGAACAGGGAGAGAATTTGACTTTACCTAAGCATTCTTTGAATACAACAAATAACTTATCCTCAAAAGACTCATTAACAAATAAAAATGTAACAGTATTTCAGAACAGTTTACCAGCGGGAGAAGCTGATAGTTTGACCTCTATAAGTGTTACTGTGTCAGACAAGAATATGTCAGCGGATTCACAATCTGTATCAAGTGTAGCAACAACAACTCACTCAGATAGTAAACAACATGATCAAGGGACATTACACTCAGATTCATCACAGACATTAAAAAGCGAGATGCCTAGTCAGGTAGAACAACCTTCGTCATTGCATCAGGCTTCTGTAAATAACAGTGGACCAGTATCCCATGCATCATCTGTTTCTAGTCAACGCATAGATGTACCATTAAATGGCTCATTGAAAGAAAGTCTTCCATCCAACAATACTGACATAAGTAAGGTTTCTTCCACACCGGGTCAGATTGTTGAAGGTAGACAGATACCCTCAACTCAACCGACTCTAATGGAGAAGAGGCATCCTTCATCTAGCTTAGCGGAACATCCTCCTGACATTACAGGAGCACCATCAAAACTATCAACTATTTCATCTGTACCACACGACTCTGAAGCCAAATCTTCATTGTCTTTACATGCATCAGAAGGTAATCAAACGACATCAGACAAAGTATCTGTACCTTCATCTTCACAAAGTTCATCATTACCACCATCATCAGTGCCACATAGCTTACCAATGCCTCCCCAGGCACACGATAATAAGAGTAATCCACATTTAATACCAATTCCGTCTTTACCAAATTCAATGATGTCTCCGGGTATGGCCATGCCGGCAGGAATGAACATGTTCCCACCACACTTAAACATGATGAATCCATATTTTCCAGGAATGATGTTTGATCCTAGAATGGCTGCAGCATTTCAGCATCCAATGTTCAGAGGAATGCCTCCTCTCCATCCTAGATACCAACAAACTCCTCCTCAAAGACCTCCACGGTCTCGTGGACCTAGAGGGCCTCGTCAAAGCAAAGCTCATCAACAGCATTTACCACCAGAAATCTTGAGACATCATGGACGACATCCAGCATCAGATTCAGCACAGATCAAAATCGATCCTCTTCTTGAGAATCCAACAGCACCACACAGCAGTTTTACAACATCACACGAAACATCTCAGGCATCTTCGTCAAGGTCATCTACGCCAAGAAGTCATGCATCTATGACTTCACCGGTCACCTCACAGGCAGATGGTATGCCTCATTTAGAACCTGGCATACCAACAAACATGGTCCATCCATCATCTCAACAGCCGCCACCAGCACATTCCCACAGTAAATTAGATATACCACCTCCCCTACCGGGGATGATGCCAAAGGCACATTCTTTTGGAAAACTGGACATGCCACCACATACTTTAGGTGTGATGTCATCAACACATGAATCTCTACCTCCACCTGCACATTCCTTTCATCCAAGTATGTCAGCATCAAAACCAACTGTGACAACAACATGTTCACTGTTAACAGATACACAAACTGTAACTACCGTTATAACAACACATTCAGACAACGTACCAACAACGAATGTCTCTTCATCACTGAAACAACCTACTTCAGCTTTATCTGATGGAATACCATTCCTGGCTATGTCTTCGCCAGGTTCTATGCCAATACCAACATCAAGTCATAGTGTAACAAATACAGATATGTCTGTCCAGCAAGATAGTGCTAAGGTCTCTGTTGTTTCTACAGCTGAAACATCTTTGCCCTTACCAGCCCACTCGCACCCTATGACAGCACCAAAAATGGCAACATCTGGGTCTATTCCTATGCCTGCCCATGTTCATACACTGGTGTCTACAAATACAAATCAAATGGTTACACAAACAGCACCGATTAATAGTGCTACAACATCAACAAACGTGACATCTGCTAGCCATCAAATTAACCAAGTTGTGCCATCATCAAAGTCTGGACCAATGGAACCTGAACGTGTTCCTTCAGGAGGCTTGCCAACTTCAAGATTACCACCATCAGCTCCTGATCAAAATCAAGGACCGATGCCATCAAATGCTAGCACTCCAATGTCAGTGCCACCTAATGCTAGTACACCAATGTCAGTAATGTCTAATGCTACCATGCCAATGTCGATGTCACATACTACCACCCCAATGTCAATGACAGCTAATGCAAGCACACCAATGTCAATGCCACATAATGTAAGCACACCAATGACAATGCCTCATAATGCTAGCACCCCAATGACAATGCCACATAATGCTAGCACCCAAATGTCAATGCCAGGACACTTTCATCAACAGGGTATGGTTCCCATGCATCCAGGTATGCCAGGTCTACCATTTATGCAGCCAGGAATGAGGGTTAGAGGTCAAAGGATGTCAAGTGGGAAACAGAGAGGACCAACACCAGACATGCCTGCAGGAATGATGCCACAATTTGGAAGATTTCCACCTGGCTTTAATCCATTCATGGCCCCGCAGATAGCAAGAATGGCAATGTCTCAAGAAATGATGGCTTTGGCACAGAAAATGTCTGCTGGTGGTCCAACTATATCTGAAGGAGAACAGGGAGCAGGTCCACAGATGCCTAAATTTGAAAACCTTACACCAAATCAAATAGAATTTATCAGGGTAATGAGAATGAGGCCACCATTTCCTCAAATTCCTGGTATGAGACCAGGTATGCCTATGCCACCAAGAAACATGCCACCTCCACCAAGATACCCTGGTCTTCCTATGACATCCTCAACAGATGCAGGGGCTCATCGACTTCCTGCAATGCCACATCCTCCAGGATCTCTATCTGGTCAGACAGCAATGCCTCCTCTGGCATCTCCAACGTCGTCAGTGAAGAGTATTCCAGAGTCACAGAGTCCTCACCCTTCGGCTTCACCGATTGCTCCATCAGCAAGTCCTATGAGCTCATTTACTGGAGACAAGACACCCAGTCCAGTTCCTAGGTCTCCAGCTAACAGTGACACCACATCAATAGGATCAACACCAGTCAAACAGGAGCCAATGGAGCACAGATTCAGCAGTTGTAAGTTAAATTTCAATTGAAATCACCAAAAATATGTTTTTTTCTTTGATTCTTGATTTTGTGCTTTTTGAAAATTTTACATACATGCCTCAGCCTATCGGAAAGTAGTATTTCTTTGAAAATTTGATTTCTTGGTTCACCGATACCCACAAAGTCAATAAAGATTAGTACACCACTAATACTTATGAATCAACAGTACATTATATAGCACTAGAAGATTGCTACATGCCGTAACATGGTCTTCAAGATTTTTCATGATGAAGTGAAATGACATGAAAAGCAGTAGCTATTAACTTTGATGACCACTGATATATAAAAAGCTATGAGATTTGCAACAAATTTTTTGTTGTTAATACATGTACAATATAAATATGCATGAAATCCATATTACAATTTTTTTTGTTCTATTCAGATTTTCAGATAGGACCGTTGAGAACAAGTGAAAAGGTTTTGGCACTCTGTCCCATGTACATCTTATTTATATACAGTCTGTGTTAAGAAGCATGAGAAAAGTTTTTAGTTTCAATTTTTTTATTAATTCTAATTTGAGGTTTTGGAGATGATATAGATGCTAGAACTGCCTCCCAGAATGCTCTTCTCAAACAGCTGCTTGCAAACAGTTTAGCTATGGGTGGAGGACGACTTCCTGGAACACCAATTTCAGAGGTAAGAGTCCTGTACAAATGTATTATACGAAAAAAATTACAAATCTACTGCAATTAAAAGTGTATAGATTTGTCTGGCTTATAAATGTCATCCACCTTTGTTAAATATTCCATCCTAGAAATCTAAAAAACTAAATACAAATGTATAATCATGTATAAATACTAATATATATTCAAAAATTTGTGTTATAGCAGATCTTCTGCAACCACAGGTTAATTGATTCACGACTTTGGTGGTAGTATTGAACTGACATTATTGCTTAGTCATGTTAGTCAAGGGACTGCAATGATGATCAGTCTGTTTGTGCAGTGAACAAATGATGTGTCTGCTACCGGTAGCTCTTGGAATTGATAAATTATTCTTGGGGAAAATAAGAATATTATCCCTGACTCTTAGATCTCCCTCATAAGTCAGTACCTTCTCCTGATTTGATAATTTTACTCCCAAATTACCAACTTAAACTCTAGTATCAACAGTAGATGAAGTACAAATTTTAATTAATTAAGGATATATAGTTTTAACTAATATCAGCTAGCTTTATATAAGGCATTTATAAGAGAAAAATGTTTTGTGAACATTTATCGTAATAATACATAAACATCATGAACATGATAAATAATGAATGAAATTTAAAATTGAGAACTATTATTCCCTGTGCATACTGTGAATCTGTCTTTTAACAATAAATGAAGAAAAAAAATACAATGTATACATTTTTTGTTTATCAGGACTCAGAAGATGGATCCACTCTTCAGTTAACGCCTGAACAACAAAAGCAACTAGAAATGATTGAGCGTATGCCTGCCATTAGAGAGGTGGAGACCTCCGCTGAAGAATGGGCATCAAAAACACCAGAGGAAAGAGAAAAGATTCTAGGTATATACCTTTTGTTAGTGGTCTTCATTACCATGATTACTGTTGATTTATTCTGTTTTATCTTACAGCAATATTGATTTTTGGTTTGTTATAAGAAAAGCAGCTTAGATTTAAAGTTATCTTTACAAAATCGAATGTTAACTAGAATCACTGTCGGTTGGATGAAACTATTTTTTTATGGGTAACTGTTTTGAACAACTTCTAAATTGATCACAATACTCTAAATTCAGAAATTATTGCAAAGTTTTTATTAATGCGAATAATACAACTTGGTGAGTATCGCAATAATAAGATCATGAAGAACTTGCGTTCTGATATCTGATACATATATCTGTATGCATAATTTTCAGAAATCGCAATAATTAATCTCACATTTATGTCCATTCTTCAGAAATTGCAATAATAAATGCATGCAATAATATCTGAATTTACAGTATGGTGACATTATCTGTTCATGTTTCAACAAAGTTTTCTACTTTCTCACTGATGTCCCTCATAGTCTACCCCTACCAACATTTTTAATACAAAGTTATGGTATCATGTTAAAAATTGAAAAATGAAAAATTGTTAAAAAGTATATTAAATATGTAGTTTTTTTTATATCATTTGAGTCAATTTTTTGTAAAAATTGTGGTTCTGCAAGACATGATAAACAGAAATCAGTTTCCTTTTATGATTCAGAGTTCTTAAAAAGGATTTTGTCTTATGGGACATTTGGACTTGCACAGTTTGAAATTTCTCAGTCCAAAAACTGTTCAGCAGTCCAATCCTATAATTCTATTGAAAATTCACTCACTTGTGTCAGACATTTGGACTGACATTGAAACAACAAATTTTAGAAATTTCTAAATTTTATAAGTGGAATGATCTGGACTTACACTTTTCACAAACTCTTAGTTTTATATTATGTTGTAATTTTGAAGTATTTTATTTGATTTCAATACAGACAAATAGAAACTACCAAAATGGGAGATAACTCATAACTACTGCAGTGCACAAAATGTTTTTCAGTTAAAGATAAAACAATGCTGGTGTTTAGTTAAACATGTGTAGTTGTGAGACACTTTAATTGGAGTTGTCAAAACTCTGATTAACCAGCTTGTAATACATTATCCATAGTTTTCTATGTTGTGATTTGTAAACTGTTGTTTGTCGTTTTTCGTCAATGTCTTGTCAGTTTGTCATCTACTTTTGAGTTTGAACATCCCTTTGGTATCTCCCGTCTCTCTTCTAGAACAATGAACTGACAAGAGTGCTTCACACAATGAAAATCTGTAGGCGTAAAAAATAATTAGCACTCCCACTCATTCGAGAGAAACTGTGAGACTCATTATGTTTAATTCTGTGACATGTGTGAGAAACTTGCTTCATGTAGACACACCTTGATCAAAACATCAGTCTAAACCTGTACACACCTTTCAACTGACCTTGTTATTGGGTTCATTGATTGTTGTTTACTTTTAATGTCTATTGGCAAATATTTCATGCATATTCAGGACAAATTCTCATTGAATTATTACTAAACATTAAATAGTAAATTAATAAGGTTTCAATTGAGGAAGAAAAACAATTTCATAAATATCTAATTTTGTGGTTTTCCCAAAGTTTGCATATAAGCATATCATACCTATAGAAAATTTGAAGTATCCACAGTACTTATTTAAAACAATTCATGTATAAAGTAGTAGGCTATTCAATAACTCCACATGTCAAGTTATTATCAGGACCCCCCCCCCCCCCTTAGTCAGCAGCACTGTATTGTAATCACTCTGACTGTCCATCTGTCAGCAGCACTGTATTGTAATCACTCTGACTGTCCATCTGTCAGTAGCACTGTTTCCTAATCACTCTGTCTGATCATCTGTCAGCAGCACTGTATTGTAATCACTCTGTCTGACCATCTGTCAGCAGCACTGTTTGGTAATCACTCTGTCTGACCATCTGTCAGCAGCACTGTATCGTAATCACTCTGTCTGACCATCTGTCAGCAGCACTGTATCGTAATCACTCTGACTTTCCATCTGTCAGCAGCACTGTATCGTAATCACTCTGTTTGACCATCTGTCAGCAGCACTGTATCGTAATTACTCTGTCATCAGCACTGTATCGTAATCACTCTGACATTCCATCTGTCAGCAGCACTGTATCGTAATCACTCTGTCTGACCATCTGTCAGCAGCACTGTATCGTAACCACTCTGTCTGACTATCTGTCAGCAGCACTGTATCGTAACCACTCTGTCTGACTATCTGTCAGCAGCACTGTATGGTAATCACTCTGTCTGACCATCTGTCAGCAGCACTGTATCGTAATCACTCTGTCTGACCATCTGTCAGCAGCACTGTATTGTAATCACTCTGTCTGACCATCTGTCAGCAGCACTGTATGGTAATCACTCTGACTGTTTATCTGTCAGCACTGCTATATCATATGATAAGTCAAGATTGACTAACTGATTTTCAAGATTTGTATGCATAGCATTAATACCTATAAAAGGCAGGTATTTTCATTTTTTGTAAAATTTGGACTAAAATTGTGGTAAAAACTTAATTTTTGATTTAAATTTATAATTTTTTTTTTTTATAAATATCTTTTTGTGCTAGAACTTCAACAAAAAATTGGTATGTATATAAGTTAAACTATGTAATTCAAAATTGATTTCCAGTGACAAATTATTTTTGTGATAAGTAGGGGGGGGGGGGAATTTACTGTGAAAAACTTACAAGTTCACAAATTTTGAAAAACATCTTTTAGTGATAGGATTCCAATGCAATGAAAATAGAAATAAGCTATTCTAAATTCAAATCAATTTAGAATGTGGATAAAATTTATGTTTATAAAAAAAATTTGAGAAACACCTTTTTGTTCTAAAGGATTGCATAAAAATTGAATATTAGGTATAATTTGCTATTCAAAATTGTTTCCAGGTGTCAAAAATTGATTATTTTATTGAAATTGTGGATAGTTGTGGTGAAAACCTTTTTTTTCTTTTTTTTTTCAAATCACTAATTTCATCATTGAGTATTATGCCACATATTATTAGGTTGAAAATTTAAAATTAAAAGTGTATTTTTCCTACATCTTAAAAAGTAAGAAAATTTGTCACTTTTTCATGAATTATCCCAAAATCAATAAAAACGTTAAAAAATCCAGTATCAAAGCATTAATGGATTAAAGCCAATCATCAATGGTGTTGTAAAAATTGTGCAGTTGAAGTTTCAACTGTAATTTTATACTGCTCAGATGACATTTTATGGAAATGTACTCTTGACAGAAAATTATAGCATTATGCTTTTTCTTTTGAACTATAATAGAGAGAGAGAAACTGTAACCATCAGCAAATGAAGATGGTCAATTTACTCAACAAGACCAAAATTGTCAATCAACTCCTTAAGAGTCATAATCACTTTATACTGTATATTCAGAAATTATTGCGAGGTTTTTATTAATGTGACTGAGTGAGTACATGTATCACCATTTATAAGAACTCACATATCTGTTATCTGATACTTGTATCTGTAGCAGTTTTTCCTGAAATCTCATTTTAATTAATTTCACATTTTTATACGACCGCAAAAAATTTTGCGGTCGTATATTGGTATGACGTTGGCGTCGTCGTCGTCCGAAGACACATTGGTTTTCGCACTCTAACTTTAGTTTAAGTGAATGGATCTCTATGAAATTTTACCATAAGGTTCAATACCACAAAAGGAAGGTTGGGATTGATTTTGGGGGTTATGGTACCAACAGTTAAGGAATAAGGGGCCAAAAATAAGCATTTTTGTAACTTCCAGACATAACTTGTGTGTTAGTATATGGATCCCTCTGACATTGTACCACAAGGTTCCATATCACAAAGGGAATGCTGGGATTGATTTCGGGGGTAATTGCCTCAAAATATTAGGAATTAGGGGCCAAAAAAGGGGCAAAAAACAAGCATTTTTCTAGCTTCATGGCAATAACTTGTGTGAAAGTGTATGGATCTTTCTGAAATTGTACTACAAGGTTCCATATCACAAAGGGAAAGCTGGAATTGAGTTTGGGGGTAATTGCCCGAAACGTTTAGGAATAAGGGGCCAAAAATAAGCATTTTTCTAGTTTCCAGACAATAACTTGTGTTCAAGTGTATGGATCTCACTGAAATTGTACCACAAGGTTCCATATCACACAGGGAATGCTGGGATTCATTTTGGGGGTAATTGCCTCAAAAGTTTAGGAATTAGGGGCAAAAAAAGGGGCAAAAAACAAGCATTTTTCTAGTTTCATGACAATAACTTGTGTTAGTGTTTGGATATTTCTGAAATTGTACTACAAGGTTCCATATCACAAAGGGAAAGCTGGAATTGAGTTTGGGGGTAATTGCCCGAAACGTTTAGGAATTGGGGGCCAAAAAGGGGCCAAAAAACAAATTTTTCTAGTTTCCAGACAATAACTTGTGTTCAAGTTTATGGGTCTCTCTGAAATTGTACTGCAAGGTACCATACCACAAAAGGAAGGCTGGGATTGAGTTTGGGGGTGATGAATCATAAGGGGGTTCAAAAAATTTGGGGGGGGGGGATTTTTTTTTTTTTTCCTTTTTTTCCTTTTTTTTTTCTTTAAAAATTTTCCATTTTAAGTTGGTTATTTCTGATTTATATTTAAAAGCAAATAATAATGATATGGTAGGAGATACACACCAAACAGGATGTGTAAATTATTATAAAATAAGTATTGTGCAATAGCAAGAAAGTGTCAAATGCACAGTATTGCACAATAGCAAGAAATCTTCAATTGCACTGTATTGCACAATAGCAAGAAATCTTCAATTGCACAGTATTGCGCAATAGTAAGAAATATCCAATAGCACAATATTGCGCAATAGCAAGAAATTGTCAATTGTGCAGTATTGTGCAATAGCAAGAAATATTCAATTGCACAGTATTGTGCAAAAGAAGATACTTCGTATAAATTGCTTATTTCTTGACCAATTTCAATGGGGTTTTATTCTTGAATTCTAGGGGTTCTTTAATATGCTGAATCGAACCGTGTATTAAGTTTTTGGATTTTGTGCCCTGTTTTTTAAATTGGTCCACATTGAGGTCCAAAGGGTCCAAAATTAAACTTTGTTTGATTTCATCAAAAATTGAATTATTGGGGTTCTTTGATATGCCGAATCTAACCGTGTATTCAGATTCTTAATTTTTGGTTTTGTTTCAAATTGGTCTACATTAAGGTCCAAAGGGTCCAAAATTAAACTAAGTTTGATTTTAACAAAAATTGAATTCTTAGGGTTCTTTGATCTGCTGAATCTAAACATGTATTTAGATTTTTGATTATGGGCCCAGTTTTCAAGTTGGTCCAAATCGGGGTCCAAAATTAAACTTTGTTTGATTTCAACAAAAATTGAATATATGGGGTTCTTTGATATGCTGAATCTAACCATGTATTTAGATTTTTGATTTTTGGGCCCCGTTATCAACTTTGTCCACATTGAGGTCAAAAGGGTCCAAAATTAAACTTTGTTTGAATTCATCAAAAATTGAATTCTTAGGGTTCTTTGATATGCTGAATCTAAATATGTATTTAGATTTTTGATTATGGGCCCAGTTTTCAAGTTGGTCCGAATCGGGGTCCAAAATTAAACTTTGTTTGATTTCAACAAAAATTGAATATATACATGTATGGGGTTCTTTGATATGCTGAATCTTACCATGTATTTAGATTTTTGATTTTTGGGCCCCGTTATCAACTTTGTCCACATTGAGGTCAAAAGGGTCCAAAATTAAACTTTGTTTGATTTCATCAAAAATTGAATTCTTGGGGTTCTTTGATATGCTGAATCTAACCATGTATTTAGATTTTGGATATTGGACCATAATAGGTGAATGTCCAATTTAAAATTTTAAGTTCTTAGACCACATTCATTCTGTGTCAGAAACCTATGCTGTGTCCAATATTTAATCACAATCCAAATTCAGAGCTGTATCAAGCTTGAATGTTGTGTCCATACTTGCCCCAACTGTTCAGGGTTCGACCTCTGTGGTCGTATCAAGCTGCGCCCTGCGGAGCATTTTATTATCCATTCTTAAAAAATTGCAATAATAAATGCACGCAATAATTTCTTTCATATTTACATTATATTTACAACATGAAATACACTTCCCTTTATTAGCTAAGGCCAAGGGAGCTTTTCTCATAAATTGGCGTCCGTCGTCTTCATCTGTTAACTTTTACAAAAATTTCTGAAACTACTGGGCCAAATTTAACCAAAGTTGGCCACAATCATCATTGGGGTATTTAGTTTTAAAAATGTGTCCAATGACCCCCTCATTGGGGTAAAATCCAACTTTTGTCTATTATTTTGAAAACCATTATAGATAAAGAAAATGTGACAGGGGCAGTAATGTTCAAAATGAGGAGCTCTACCAATTGTCCATATATGTCAAAACTGTCAGACAACTTCTTTTAGGAGTTGTTGCCCTTTAATGACAAATTTTACCATTTTTTTTCATTTTTGCCTATTATCTTGAAAATTATAATAGATATAGAAAAACTTTGAATTGGAAAAATGATCAGCAAGACTAGTTCTACAAATAAGTCTCAAGATAGAAATTGTCAGTCGACTCCTTTTTAGAGTTATTAGAGTTATTGCCCTTTGATGTCAGTTTTACCAATTTTTTGCGTTTTTGCCTCAGATCTTAAAAATTAGATATATAGAAACTAAAGAAGCAAAAATGATCAGCAAGACAAGATTTACTATTAAGACAGTACGAAGGAAATTGTCCGACGACTCCTTATTGGAGTTATTGCTCTTTAATGACGATTTTTACCATATTTTTTGCATTTTACCTTATATGATAAAATTATAGTAGATAAATAGACACTTTAAATCACAAAAATGATCAGCAAGGCAAGATCTACTAACAAGTCAAATTTTGCTGATGTAGTTAGTAGACTGTCACTCTTTATAGGAGTGGTTGCCCTTTAATGAGTTGAGTAGAAAGAGAATGTATGACGTCATTGACGTTGATTAGGAAAACAGCAATAAACAGATTATCAATGGTCTTTCAAACTCCACAATGTTTCTTAGCTACATCTCATTTCGGGGCTGTAGCGCTTTGATGAGATTGTAGCTGAGAATCACCCTCTTGTTTGAAAAACCATCAATAATATATAGAAAGGTCAATAATATTAATAGAATAGTTAGCACCAAAACCATCTCACCAAGAATGTCAATTATATAAGCTGCATTCCCAAAGTGTTAAAACTAATAGAGGTTTCTTGACACCTGTATTCATTAATTACCTTGAACTTTCTTATAACTGTATAGAATTTTGTTTTTAAAGAACTGAGGAAGCAGGCCTTTGAAGAGAAAAGAAAAGAATTTGAAGAGGTTAGAAAGAAAAGGAAGCCTCCAGCAGAACCGCGGAAACGGAAAAAGAAGCCCATGGATCAGATATTCCCAGAAATGTTTGGTGATGGGCAGATAATGATGCAGCAGCAACAGCCACTTCAGCCGCCACCAAAGAAACGGCAGCGAAGACCAAAACAGAAAAAGGTGGACATTGAAGAGGATAAGGATGCCAAAGTAGAGAGCTTCTTGGCACAGTTAAGAATGCTAGCGAACGTCCCTCTCCAAGAACCTAAAGTTATAAGTGCTATTGTAAATAGTCCAGTACATGGAAGTCCATCTGTACTCACAGGTACATTTTGTTTTACTTACATTTTTATACGACCGCAAAAAAATAATTGGTATGATGTTGGCGTCGTCGTCATCATCCGAAGACACATTGGTTTTCGCACAATAACTTTAGTTTAAGTGAATGGATCTCTATGAAATTTTACCATAAGGTTCAATACCACAAAAGGAAGGTTGGATTGATATTGGGGTTATGGTACCAACAGTTAAGGAATGAGGGGCCAAAAAAGGGCCCAAATAAGCATTTCTAGTTTCCAGACAATAACTTGTGGAACGGTGTATGAATCTCTCTGAAATTATACCACAAGTTTCCATACCACAAAGGGATGGTTAGGATTGACTTTGGGGGGGTTATGACTCAAACTGTTTAGGAATTAGGGGGAAAAAAGGGGGGGGGAAACAAGGGTTTCCTGGTTAATGGACAAATTAAAAGCAGTGTAAGGGAGGTAATCCAAATACATTTAAAGTATTAAAAAAAAATGAATTACCTCCCTTACATTGCTTTTAAATTATGTATAAAGATGTTGTATTGTCTTGAGGTGATTAGCTGTCAATTAATTTTTAGAAGTTACTATTAAAGGAATATTAATTTTAGCCATGATTATGTATGTCATTTTCTATTTTAAGACTTTTATAATGTAATTAAATTGGTAATTATGGTTGCAAGCTCCATTGGAAATTTGAATTGAGATTATGACCATATCTTGAGGGAAAGAATTTTTTTGGGGAAAAAAGGGGGGGGCAATTTTTTCTTTTTTCAGATTTCATAAATTAAAAAGAAAATTTCTTCAAATATTTTTTTTTTTGCAAAATAAAGGAGGGGGGGTCAATACGCAACAGCATGGTGTATTGCACAAAAGCAAAAAAATGAATATAAATTCAAATCATATAACCAATTCTAAGTTCTTTGACTACAGTTATTGTGTGTCAGAAACCTATTATGTGTCAAATATTTAATTACAATCAAAATTCAGACCTGTATCAAGAGCGAATATTGTGTCCATTTTTGCCCTAACTGTTCAGGGTTGGACCTCTGCGGTCATATCCAGCTGCGCTCAGCGAAGTATTTTATTTATTTAGAAATAAGACAAGATCATTTTTTTGTGCTTTTTGATTTCTTTTCATTAATTTTGGACAAATGTTTTAAAGATGAGAAAACTATTTCTGAAGCTTTTTTGATTTATTTATGAAAGTTCAGAAATACAATATAATTAAAACCTGAAATTGATCACATAAAACTGGAAATTTCAAACTGAACTTTAGTTAAGAATCAACAGACTTCTTAAAAATAAAGGGACCTATGTGGCTGAGTGGTCTACATAGTTCATTTACCATATTACTAACCTGTAAGCACTGAGCTTGTGAATTCAAACTCTACATGTGGCAGGTGCATTGGACTGAATAAGGTGTTAGTGTCAAAATTAACAAGTTGTTTAAGATATTTTATCACCAAAAAAAATAAACAAAAGTTTGAAAGATAAAATAAACACCTCTTAATGAAGTGTTTAAAAAGTAATAAAACCAATAATTCATGGCTCCATTGCTTTATATAGCATTTATCATGTTCATAACCAATATTTTGCAACATTATATTAAGTGACAGTAATTTCATGTCTAAACAATACCTTAGCCTGACTTGTGCTACAGAAAGCAAGAGAACACATGTACACTGGTTCCCAAAGTCTGAAATAAAAAAGACATGTTCTTTTGATCTTAGAAACAGGCAAAATTTGCCCCTCTATTTTGATTTCATACAACTTTTTTATTATTCAAAATGAACATTCAACAGGGTTCAGTACCTAAAAACCCCAGATCCTTAAACTTTCGAAATTGGGGTTTGGCAATTACAGGACCGAATTGATGATTCTTCAAATTTTTCTTAGGAATGTATTACAAAATTAACAAAATTCGACAGGACCGAATATATTTTTACAGGACATTTCCTGTCGGTCCTGTGATTATTTAGACAAGTTTCACTGTACAGCCTGTGAAAATGTAAGATTGTAGGATCTTAATATGGTTATTGCTTTACAGGTGAAGGTCAGTTAAAAGGAGATTTTGGTAATGCCTATTTAGATGGTGTAGCAGATTTCTACGGAAGTACCCTGTTAGGTGGATTACCTCCCCTTGGGTCATTAGTTGGTTTACCACCGCCAAAAAATATTGAATCTGGAAGGAAATTGATAAGTGATGGGCAGGAAATAGCTGGTTTGTTTAACATTTTATCACATTTTCATTATTTTCATAAGTTTATTAATTTAATAGTCATGTTTACCATAATGTATGATTAAACCATATGGTAAAAGACAATAAATGGGATTGATATGTATTGTATAGTTCCAACTATGCCTGGTAGTAAATTTGTTAAACCACCTCAGTAGCCAAAATATTTTAAAGTCTGAAACTATATACAAACATTAAAGAGCTGATAAAACCAAAAAAGGACCAGACCAAAAGTAAATGTAAACTTTCAAGAAATAAGAGCTATGCATGAGGGAGATACATTCCATGATTTAAAGTGATTTCCCAAATTTGAAGGATTCTTACAAAGTATACAAATCATAAATAATCATGTATATATTAAATGAAATGATAGAAAGTTTAGAATAAATATATGTGTAAATATTTGTTTATTTCAACATATGTCTATTCATTAGTACGTTTGGTATAAACATGATAAAGATGTGAAACATTAGCATGACTAGCTATACTATGTAACTAATTCTGTTTCTTCAAAATTTCTATAAAAACCAATGATTAGTTATTGGCAATAAACCAATTTTCTTGACCTATTTTTTTTTTATGGACATGACGTACTTACATGGTTAAATTTCTTATTAACAGGAAAGTTATTGTGATATTTCATTTATCATCCATTGATCATTCTTAATGCTATCAAATAGTGTGAAAAGTTAGTTAGGCCAAAAAAAAATAATACATGTGTTTCCGCTAATCCTACCTACCCTAATTTTTAGTGCCTACCCTAACACTTTTTATGCCATTTTGGAACAAGCACTGTTAAAGTCAGACTGATTCCCTAGTAGTAACCAGCTAAAAAATGTTTGTAAAATAAAATGATATTGCCTACCTACCTACCCTATTTTTTTTTCAGCACGTTAGCGGAAACACATGTATTATTTTTTTGGCCTTATAACAAATAAATGACCAATTTCGAACACTGACCCTTTATTTATCATTGATATTTTGGTTTAAGTAGAAGTAAAATTTATGAATCAAAATTTTTATTTTTAAGTCAATGATTAGTAGAGGGGCATTATGTTTTCTGGTCAGTGTGTCCTTCAGGCCATTTATCTGTCCTGTATCCGGTTAAAGTTTTTGTTTAGGATAGTTTGTGGTCACGTGAACATGAAACTTAGAACACATGCACATTCATAATGAAGAACTATACAATTTAATTTGATATTTTATATACTGTATACCATATAATGTGAAATTAGGGTTTTAACTCAGATATCATGGTTCACTAAACATGGGAATGTATGTATGTATGTATGTACTGGTAGATACCTCCGTTATTCTGAGCTCCCCTCAATAGCTGAGAGGGTACAGTGGTACCTGTGTACACTCCTTATATGATTGTGTGAGCATGGCATGGTGTCCCATGGAAACATTTTCTTGTTTCATTTTTTCTTTAACATGTTTAACCTTTATTCATGTTCTTGTTTGCAGATCATCTGAAGCAAAAACCAGCAAATGAAGCAGCATTCCTAGGACCACGCGGAACCCAACCATTTTCTATAGGTTCTCTAACTGGAATGGCTCCTATTCCAGTGGTACCAGCATTACCGTCACATCCAAGGATTGAACCTCGAGTGCAGGCTTTAAGGTATAATAGCTGTTGTGTTCTTTTCTCAAACAAGTTTGGGTGTTATTCATGAATCGTTCTGTCTGAGTCCAACTAGAAACTTTTGATTGCCTTTAAGGATATTAATGATGCATCATCATGCTTGATATTTTTGTTGCTAACCACCATACAGTGTTTTGGGAATGTTAGAATGTCTGTATGCAATGTCAAGGTCCATACCTCCTATTATTATAGTATACAAATATAAGGCCTGGGGGTATCATTTTGCAAGCAAAACTTGCAGTAGCCCAACTTTTTCTTAGAGTTGATGTTTTCATACAGTTTAGTAAATATTTGTACTTTATTTTTATGCCCCATTAATGGGCATTATGTTTTTCGGTCTGTGCGTCCGTTCCTTCATCCTTCCGTCCGTCTGTCCCGCTTCAGGTTAAAGTTTTGGTCAAGGTAGTTTTTGATGAAGTTGAAGTCCAATCAACTTGAAACTTAGTACACATGTTCCCTATGATATGATCTTTCTAATTTTAATGCCGAATTAGAGTTTTGACCCAAATTCCACGGTCCACTGAACATAGAAAATGATAGTGCGAGTGGGGCATCCATGTACTATGGACACATTCTTGTTTTTACTTTTTTTGGTATTAATTGATTTATTATTTCATTTGATATGTTTTACTGCTTAATCCTTGCTTAAAATCCATACAAGAAAAAAATTAATTAATATTTATCGTAAAGTGGTTGATTCAATTTAAACACCTATAGTATAAGCAAGATGTCTAACCATTCTAAGTAAGTCCACAAGGACATCACACTTACATGACGATACAATACAGAATGGTAGCACGGATGTTTGTTTCGTGTTATTCCTAACAATATATAAGTTTTTATCTTGACTTCTTAGCTTACTAATCTCTTTTCTAAAAAATCCCAACGACTATGGGTTATTTCATTGTACCTCTAAACAGAAATAAGGTCTTGTCATTGGTTGAATTTCCATTGTTTAGGATGTTGTTATTTGATGAACACTTTTGAAAATATTACCAACAATGCATTAGATTCTGAAACGGGGAATTGCAGCAGCAGTGTGTTCAGTCTTTGGTTACCACAGTTCTAAATGTACTGTAAATTTTCTTTATAATATCCATTGATAACTTAACATTTGAAAATACTTTCTGCCTGTGTTTAAAGGAAAAATATTGCTATTGTAAATTTTTTGAAAGTACGCTGCTCAGTTTTATAAAGCAGTTGGTTAAGGTTTTCTGGGCAATTTTTATTTCAAGTGTTTTTTTACTTGAAGCTCATTATTCGCCTTGTTTCATGAATGGGTATAAAAAAAGCAATGTTTAAGCTGGTTTGTATTTTTCATTCATCATGAAATGACCATTTGATTTCTAGTTCTTCTATGCATCCCCCTTTACGACCCTCTTTTATTATTTTAGAAAACTATTTTATACATTTATAGGATGACTGATAGTCCAGATACAGTAGTTTCCTCCTCTTCGCCTGAACATGAATATGGAGATGAAGAAATGGATTTTCCAATGTTGAAACCTATTGATCCACCTGCTGAAGAGGATCGTCGTTGTTCTCCAGCCCTGCCTCTTCTTCAGCCAATCGCCATCAAAGCTGAATCTCTACAAATCAAAGAAGAAAAAATTGAAAGAAAAGAAGATTATGCAGAAACCACAAAACTAACGACTGATGATATCGGTGATAGAAAATTGGCCAAATTTGATCCTACCCTTGCTGCAATGGCAGAAAAAGATATTACGGGCAAAAGCAATAGTTTCACTTCATCTCTGTCGCATCCTCTCAAAGACAAGGATATATCTGTGACTTTAACTTTATCAGCAAAGGCAGCTGAGGATATCGGTGGAGTTCTGTCTAGTATAGCAGAACTGTTGAAGATAGCGGTTCCCCCTACTTACCAAGTCAGTAGGAGTCCATCACCTGATTCACTTAAAATGAACCTTAAACGTAAGAAATTAAATTATATTTGAGACGGAAATTCTGGATTACAAAAGTTATAATTATGTTGCCAAAGTAGTAACCAATTTCTCTTCTATTAAAGAGTTACTTAATTTGACAGCTTTATATTGAAGAAAATAAAATTAAATTGGATGAGGTTATGCAGGAAGGGATTTCCAACATTGATTAATTTTGCATACATCAAATGAGCATACAATGATACATGTCCCTGAACCATGTAATAGAACTTCCCAGTCTACTCCTGTCTCCCATATTTAATTTGATGATATAGTCCTGATTACTCATATATACTCTTAATTTGTTGGAAAATTTTGTATTGCAATTGAAAAAAAAAATACAATTAGAGTTGCTTCCCTTTGTCCAAGTTACCTTCATTTGTCAATAAATGGTTTTTTTTTGGGGGGGGAAATAATAAAATATTTCTTTATATTACAAAGGGACTGTTTTAAACGAGAAAATAATGTAGTTTGACAGTTAGTTTGTTTTTCTATTATAGATAAAGAAGATCCTATTAATATTCATAATTTGATCAAAATGAAGCCGAAGTTTTGTCGTAATTGTGATATGGTGGTTCTAGACAAAGGATTCATTAGAAAGAAATCAGAGATGCCATTTATGATCAAGGAGGACCATTTTACTTTCAGGGTAAGTACCTCAAGGGGTGACCATATTCAATACTACCCAGTCAAAATTTACATGTTTCTTTATAATAATCTATATAACACATGAAAATATGTATAAAAGGAAATAATGGTTCTACAATAAGATAGTATAAACCAACAAAATAGAATATTGAAAAGTAATTTTTATACGACCGCAAAAAAATTTTTGTGGTCGTATATTGGTATGACGTTGGCGTCGTCGTCGTCGTCGTCGTCGTCGTCGTCGTCCGGCGTCGTCCGAAGACACATTGGTTTTCGCACTCTAACTTTAGTTTAAGTGAATGGATCTTTATGAAATTTTACCACAAGGTTCAATACCACAAAAGGAAGGTTGGGATTGATTTTGGGGGTTATGGTAATAACAGTAAAGGAATTAGGGGCCAAAAAGGGGCCAAAAATAAGCATTTTTGTAACTTCCAGACATAACTTGTGTGTTAGTGTATGGATCTCTCTGACATTGTACCACAAGGTTCCATATCACTAAAGGAATGCTGGGATTGATTTTGGGGGTAATTGCCTCCAAATTTTAGGAATTAGGGGCCAAAAAAAGGGGCAAAAAACCAGCATTTTTCTAGTTTCATGACAATAACTTGTGTGTAAGTGTATGGATCTTTCTGAAATTGTACTACAAGGTTCCATATCACAAAGGGAAAGCTGGGTTTGAGTTGGGGGTAATTGCCCTAAACGTTTAGGAATTTGGGGCCAAAAAGGGGCCAAAAAACACATTTTTTTCTAGTTTCCAGACAATAACTTGTGTTCAAGTGTATGGATCTCTCTGAAATTGTACTGCAAGGTACCATACCACAAAGGGAAGGCTGGGATTGAGTTTGGGGGTGATGAATCATAATGGGGGTTCAAAAAATTTTGGGGGGGGATTTATTTTTTTTTCCTTTTTTTTCTTTTTTTCCTTTTTTGTTTCTTTTAAAATTTTCCATTTTAAGTTGGTTATTTCTGATTTATATTTAAAATCAAATAATAATGATATGGTAGGAGATACACACCAAACAGGATGTGTAAATTATTATATAATAAGTATTGTGCAATAGCAAGAAATTTTCAATGGCACAGTATCGCACAATAGCAAGAAATCTTCAATTGCACAGTATTGCGCAATAGCAAGAAATCTTCAATTGCACAGTATTGCGCAATAGCAAGAAATATCCAATAGCACAATATTGCGCAATAGCAAGAAATTGTCAATTGTACAGTATTGCGCAATAGCAAGAAATATTTAATAGCACAGGATTGTGCAAAAGAAGATACTTCCTATAAATTGCTTATTTCTTGACCAATTTCAATGGGGTTTTATTCTTGATTTCATGGGGTTCTTTAATATGCTGAATCTAACCGTGTATTTAGTTTTTGGATTTTGGGCCCCGTTTTTAAATTGGTCCACATTGAGGTCCAAAGGGTCCAAAATTAAACTTTGTTTGATTTCATCAAAAATTGAATTATTGGGGTTCTTTGATATGCCGAATCTAACTGTGTATTTAGATTCTTAAATTTTGGTTCCGTTTTCAAATTGGTCTACATTAAGGTCCAAAGGGTCCAAAATTAAACTTAGTTTGATTTTAACAAAAATTGAATTTTTAGGGTTCTTTGATATGCTGAATCTAAACATGTATTTAGATTTTTGATTATGGGCCCAGTTTTCAAGTTGGTCCAAATCGGGGTCCAAAATTAAACTTTGTTTGATTTCAACCAAAATTGAATATATGGGGTTCTTTGATATGCTGAATCTAACCATGTATTTAGATTTTTGATTTTTGGGCCCCGTTATCAACTTTGTCCACATTGAGGTCAAAAGGGTCCAAAATTAAACTTTGTTTGATTTCATCAAAAATTGAATTATTGGGGTTCTTTGATATGCCGAATCTAACCGTGTATTTAGATTCTTAATTTTTGGTTCCGTTTTCAAATTGGTCTACATTAAGGTCCAAAGGGTCCAAAATTAAACTTAGTTTGATTTTAACAAAAATTGAATTCTTAGGGTTCTTTGATATGCTGAATCTAAACATGTATTTAGATTTTTGATTATGGGCCCAGTTTTCAAGTTGGTCCAAATCGGGGTCCAAAATTAAACTTTGTTTGATTTCAACAAAAATTGAATATATGGGGTTCTTTGATATGCTGAATCTAACCATGTATTTAGATTTTTGATTTTTGGGCCCCGTTATCAACTTTGTCCACATTGAGGTCAAAAGGGTCCAAAATTAAACTTTGTTTGATTTCATCAAAAATTGAATTCTTGGGGTTCTTTGATATGCTGAATCTAACCATGTATTTAGATTTTGGATATTGGACCATAATAGGTGAATGTCCAATTTGAAATTTTTAAGTTCTTAGACCACATTCAATCTGTGTTAGAAACTTATGCTGTGTCAAATATTTAATCACAATCCAAATCCAAAGCTGTATCAAGCTTGAATGTTGTGTCCATACTTCCCCCAACTGTTCAGGGTTCGACCTCTGCGGTCGTATCAAGCTGCGCCCTGCGGAGCATTTTATTTTTCTCTTATTACATGTCCACAATAACAAATATCAAAAATCAATGATTGGTGGTTCTGCCTTAACGCTGGCTTCCTACAATATAAACTGGCTGCTGTGATATAGCTAAAAGGCATGTCAAACACTATCAATCAATCAATCAAATAAATGTGTCTCTTCAAATACATCAATTTCCAGTCTTCAAATATATCTAGTGTGTCTCTGTAAATGTCACAACAAAAAGCATTTGACGTTACTGACTAACAACGATTGTTTTGCAAATGACATCAGGTCCACTGATACAAAATTGAGGTCAGTCTTTGTGAACTTCAGGATTTTCAAAATCTGTGTTTCCCATAAGTCTTGACGGTTAGTTTACATATATTTTACTCTTTTTCCAGGAATCAGAAGACGAGGATATCGCTTTCTGTAGTCAGAAATGTTTTGAGAGATTTGTGATGGTGTATAGGAGTATATTTAAGTCTGGTGGATTGCATAGTAAACTTGGACAGGATCCAGCTTTCTTCTCCGACAAATCACCATCGGCGGCATCCCTCAGTCCGTTCCCTTCTACTCCTCCCACAATGGTCAGTCCAAGGGGATCAGGATTCCTAACGCCTAACTCATCAGGGGAGAGAACTCCACAGCTGACACCTACAACACCAACAGGTGCCTCACTGCTGACAGGAGGGATGGAATCATTAACACCAACAAGACAGAGGCAAGAACTGGAAAAGATTCAGGGAAGAAAACACAAGAAAGATGTTCCACCAAAGGTAGGAACAATGTGGACAAGTTGCAATTTCACTTTGAGTGTAATTAAAAAAATTTAGATGTTTTCAGATTTGTTTGAGATTTGTAAATGACATCATTCTAATACATGAAGTCTTTTTCAGTAAATAAAAGTTAGGGGAAAGTAAAGATAGGTTTTATGAGTGCATTTGGAATATAAGCATTTGATAAACCAAAAGTTTAGTGGGATTGTAATGTTACTAGATTTTTTGTTGGAAAGGAAATGCATTAAAATGAATTTTAAACCGAAGGCAAAATATTATACAAATGAAATATATCTTGAATATGGTTTGTCCGTAATTTGCTTTAGATGCTTATTTTGTTTTTAATTAATTGAGAAATATTGATATTATTGTTGCAGCCTCCACCAAAACGATGGAAAAATATAAGATATAAAAAGTGGGATCCATCCTTCTCACAAGAACTACAGCCTCGACCAGAAACTCCTAAAAGTGAAGTTGAAGTGGTGAGTACATTAAGTAGCCAAGGGACAAATAATCCCATATTTTACACGGAGATTCTCAGGTAAATTATGACTGTATTTTTCGGATTTCTTCCATTTTAAATTTAGATAGCTTTTGTTTATTTAAAATAAAATAAATCGCAATAATTATTCTTGCATTTTTTTTCCATTGTTCAACAATTACAATAATAGATGAATGCAAAATTTTTCTGAATTTACAGTAATAGCTAAAAAGAAGTATCTCAGAAATTACTTTACCTTTAAAATGTTTTTATGTAATTCAAATATAAGCATTTGACATTATTTCAGCTGTGGAAGGCCCTAGGTACAATTATAACTCCAGATCCCATGCCTGAAGATAAACGATCCTGTGTGTTCTGTCAGACTATTGGTGATGGCCCAACTGATGGACCTGGGAGGTAAGATATGATTTACATTTTGTTGGTACTATTATCATGCAGGAATTTCATTATTTTATCTCAAATTATTTTGATTAATTTGAGATGTCCAAGATTAGCATTAATCAACAGAACAAAAAAAAAGTCAACTGTGATAAAATTATATGAATAAATTGAAAAAAAATCACATTATTATGCTGTAAATATTAGGTTCAATAAGAAAATATTTCAAGCTGAAGACAATCACATTCATTTTATAAAAGCAATACATGGAATCATTTGGCGTATCCTATTTTTTAACAAGTACTAGTAAAGCAAATTTGAACAAATCCAAAATCTAGTTCCTTTTTTTGTATAACGTTTGTTGTGATAATTCATATGTATTTACAGATTGTTCGGTATGAGCCAAAATAGTTATTCTAATTCATGCAATGAACTAAAATGAAAAAGAATAATTAAATTTAGAATTGACAGTAGCTTGACATAAAACTTATATTGAATATTTTATATGTTACTTTAAAAGCTTACAGGTACTAATATACAAAACAAATTTACCCTACCACATGATCACCACTTCAGGTGTTGGTTCACCATATATAATTTTAGTTTACTAATATACAGTAAAACCTGTATTTACCCAACCACATCAGGATTGAAGAATTTTGTACTTCTAAAAATATTTTCCTATATGCTTATATTTAGAGTTTTGTTTAGAACAGTTTTCAGTTTGTGATTGCGTTGTCATTGCTTACTAGGCTTGCTTATAGTAGAGCAACCTTATTTATTCGCCATAGTCCCAAATTTATGAAATATAATATAATGATTTTCAGATTGCTGAACATGGATGTAGATAAGTGGGTACACTTGAACTGTGCTCTCTGGTCCTCGGAAGTTTACGAGACTTTGAATGGCGATTTGATGAATGTGGATGTAGCATTCAAACGAGCCCAAGCACTTGAATGTCAGTCTTGTAAGAAATCAGGAGCTACACTGGGATGTTTTAAAGTCAGCTGTTCTAAAGTGTTTCATATTGGTTGTGCACAGAAAGCTGGATGCATGTTCTTTCAGGATAAGGTGAGTCCTTCATGACATCAATATCATTGGTTAAAAAAGATTGGGAACATACCAAGAGGATGTTCAAAACTCAAAAAGTCATAAGTCGAAGAGAAACTGAGAACGCCTTGCCAAAAAATTAAAAGAAAGGAATGATTATAGAATAACTAATCCAAGAATTCAAATATAGAAAAATATTCAATGAGTGACTGAATAACGCATAAGTTCACGAATGCGCATAGTGCATGATTTAATTATTATTGTTGTTCGGTCACGTGTTGAATAATTTTCAATTTTTTAATTCTTGGATTAGTTATTGTTTTAATACATTGACCATGGACTTTTTAATGGAAATAAAGTAGAAAATGAAAGGAACTACACCTTTTTCTACGCATTCTCAAATGTTTTGATGGACACAAAAAATGTCTTCACTTGTATTTAAAGAATGTTATGTTCTTGTAATATTGTTAACCTTAGTTGGATTTGGCCATTATCTTTTGTCCTTTTTCTTTCCTCAAATTGCTGCTTATGAAATCAAGTATTTATGCAACCTTGGCTTACAAATTTTTGGTTTAAAAGTTCCTGATGAAGGTTAATCCAGTAAAGTATTTATCAAGTGCTATTATCATTATAAGGAGAAATGTAGTGTATTGTATGTTTTGTAATGGAAACTTTTTTTTTATTTCAGACAATCCTTTGTCCACCTCATGCACCAAAGATATTCCCAGACAATGTGCTGACTAATTTATCTGTATATAGGAAAGTTTATGTAAATAGAGACGAGGATAAACAAGTAGCCAGGTAAACTATTAATTATGCTTCATTATTTTGTGTTTTTTGACAAATGTAAAACAATGCAAAGTAGAAAACTAACATCCTGATTTATGATTGATTGTTGGTTGCTTAACGTCCAGTGGCAAATATTTCATGCATATTCAGGACGATCCTGATTTATGTACAAAACAATGAACGTAAAAATTATAAACAGCTACAAACGACAACCACTGAATTATAGGCTCCTGACTTGGGACAGGCACATACAGAATGTGGCAGGGTTAAACATGTTCTAAAGACTTTTTATTTTTACTTTGAAATTGAAAAACAAATAAATGAACTTTAACAATATTTGTTTTCTAAGACAATTGACAGCTGTAGATCCACTGTTAAACACATAGAGCTGAAGAAATCAGTACTGTAAATTTAGAAATGAATAATATGCTTTTTATTTACATAATATATACAACAGCATAAACTTCTATAATTAAAACTAATCTTTTCAACAATCATATTAATCAATGCCAAAAATAATATCTAAATAAACAATGTTTACTAAGTTGGATCTAAAGGCCTATTCTTGTTAACTTCAGTATGATCCGAGGGCAGGAAGAAGGGACATATGCTTTACGGATCAGTTCTCTAATTTTACACAGTGTAGGACAATTATTACCACACCAGATAGCAACAGGAAAATTTCATACCAGAGATTTTATATATCCTGTAAGTATTTAAACAATGACTTTTTGTGAAAGAAAGACAAAGTAGATGAGCTAAGGGGTTTATAGGTACAGTAAAGAGCCTGTAATGAATGCCAAGTCATATGATGTACTACATCAGTGAATGCTTGAAGTAACATGATATTTAAAAAAAAAAAACAATTTCGCTTTTTATATAATTTATTCTATTTTCATAACTATTGATTGATTATATCTCTGATTATATAAATGCTTCATAAATAAGAATAAGGAGATCTGGTATGATTGCCAATGAGACAACTATCCACCAGAGTTCAAATGAAGTGGATGTAAGCAATTATATATATTATAGTAGGCTTTAAAAGGGCCTGACATGAAAAATGTGAAACAATTCAAACATGAAAAAATAACAGCCTAATTTATAACAAAACAAATTCAAGCATGAGCCAACACAACCACTGAATTACAGGCTCCTGACTTGGGATACAAAGAATGTGGCAGATTAAACATGTTCTGTCAATTTTACAATATTCTGATGCAGTTTAACGAGTTCTTAAAGCATACACTTTTTTTTTAAATCTTAAAATACTGCTAGCTTTTGTTTACTTTGCCTTAACATGATTTTAAAGATAATGAATTGAACAAAAAAGATAGATTTTATATGATTTTAAAAAATATTGTGATCTTTGTTATGACAGGTTGGTTTTAAATCTAGTCGATTTTATTGGAGTATGAGGAGGTTGTATAAAAGGTGTCGGTATGTCTGCAGTATTAGTGACAATGATGGTAGACCTGAGTTCATGATTCGTGTAGTGGAGGCAGGCTTTGAGGATATTGTTATGAAAGACAGTTCACCACGTTCTGTGTGGTTTAAAGTGCTAGAACCGTTAGATAAAATGCGAAGAAATGCAGACTTAGTGAAAATATTTCCCAGTTTTATGACGGGAGAGGAATTGTTTGGTTTAACAGAACCAGCCATTATCAGGGTGATTGAATCTGTAAGTTTGCCTGTCGTTTTTTTCTCATATGAATGAATGGAGATATACCAACGAGACAGCAAACCCATGAAACAAAACAAAAAAAGATGTAGAAGTCATCTAGAAAAGTTTCTATATATAGATATGTTTAATTCCAAATTGCCCTGATTCTAAAAAAAAAATAGTTGTGAAAAATTTAACAGAGGATCGAAAGATCTGCCATCAACTCCAAATTTAAGAATCCTGAATCTGACAATTAAATTATAGTTAATTGAGTTATTCCCCTTTGTCTTCAAAATTAGGGAAAATCTTGATCAATTTTCAAGCAAAAAATTTCTATTTTTAATGAGGTTGAATGTCAAAAAAAATCTCGTGTATTATACATTATATTTTTTTTTCTAACCATAAAGGCTGTTGAAAATATGATTTTTATACTTCTTTCTGTCTGTCCATGTGTCCTTCTTAAATTGGAGCCATCCCTTATCAATTTCCTGTTTACAGAACATTTATATATTCTTACACATAATTGCCATGTATGGAAATTTGTAGGTTTTTTTTTCAGGAACTCTAAATCAGGGCTTCAGTATGTTTTGTTTTAGCATTCTATACCATGTTATGTGTTTGAATTGCCTGTAAGAAGACTTTTTCAGGTTTATGTATAAGTTTAATTTTACGATTGTCATATTGAATTGTAATATTTTACAGCTACCTGGAACTGATCTCTTATTAGACTACGCTTTCAAATATGGCCGTTGTGAATTGATTGAAATGCCATTAACAATTAACCCATCAGGGTGTGCTAGAACAGAACCAAAACTTAGAACTCATTTTAGAAAGTAAGTATAACGTAAGAAATTTGTTTCAGCATTTCTTAAATTACAAAATTTATAGTAGATGTGAAATTCTCTGTCAGAGTAATTACTCCAGTTTTTTTTTTGATAATGCAAAATTATGTGCATTCAAATAGAATTATTGTGTGTGACAGTGAATCTGTGTTGACACATAAGGATTTCTTGTGTGTCTTGCCCAGTCAACTACATCACTTTTATAATCTGTTGTGCTTTTGCACTTTTTATTTTTATTTTTGGTGGTTTTTGAGGTTTTCCATACTGAAAAATGAACTTAGCCATTTCTGCTTATATCAGTTTGTTAATCTGCAACAGTTGGAAACAATCGACAGAATTCCACCAATCTTGCACAGATGTTAGTCTGCAACAGTGGGAAACAATCTTGACAGATTTCCACCAAACTTGCACAGATTGTTCTACAGGACATGAAGTTATGCACCATACCCTGCTATTTTAATTTTGGATTTAAATTAATTTTTGGGGTTTCCCAAAATACAACTTGAACTTCTTCATTTATGCTAATATTATTTTGAGATGGTAGGCAGCATTCATCTTTATTGGCAGATTTGAACATTTTTAAACTGTTTATCTTATTCTTATCATGCCATCTTTGATAAAAATTTATTTGAGTGACAGTTAAAATAAGTTAATGATTTTAATTAACTTTCTTCTACAATTACTAACGCCCATAGACTACCCAACTCTACACATAACCTCAGCATCATAACACTAATAAAAACCAAACTAAAGTTCAAATGGTAACCCACACGACAGTGCCATTTGCTGATTTTAATTGCACATTATGATACATAATATCATGTCGACAAAATATAGCCGGTAATTTATAAATACCACCGAAATCAAAACATTAAATATAACATTTAATAAATTCACATAAGCAAGATAAAAAAAAAATTTAACTGTGAAACACGTCTATTCGAGTCGGCCCTGTTGTACTGAATGGTTATATCCCATGAAGCGCGTGAATACAAATAACAGTCTATGGAATAAACAAGAAGAAATTAATTTCAATCTAATTCAGTTCCTTCAAACGGTTGAAATTACATTTTGAAAAATCACATTGACAAACGCCTGAATTAATACCTGTTATACTCAAATTTACAATATTGTACTAAGCAAATACCTGCAAGGTAAAATGTAGAAAGAAAATGCAAATTAGACTGACAGTTTAGATCCTTAATTTAATAGATGACATGATATGTCTTGTTTCACAATGGATTTGATATAATACTAGATATTATAAGTTAAGTGCTTTGACACTTTGATGCTAAAAAATGGTTGACACAAGCAGGGCAGGAATTCTATTCACATAATATTGTCATTTTAGAAATTTTTGCTTGGATTTATTTATGTGACTTTTGAACAATGGACAAAAAGCGAGATTAATTTTGCTATTTCAGGAAATGCTGCATTCAAATGATTCTAATTTTTTTTTTGCTGGAAGGGGGGGAATCATATCCATCAAAAACATCACAACCATTTTTGAATTTACAGTAGTCAGTTTCAAGGTTTGGGTTTAATAGTTTGTTTTACCTAAGCTTTAGGTTACATTTATTGCGTTAGTGCATTTTTTCCGACAGTTAATTATTAATTTCTATTTTTAGAATGCATACATTACAATCCAGCCATACATCACGGTCACTTCCTGCTATGGTAACAGGGGTGACAGGAGACATTAATTCTCCATACATGAAACAGTTTGTCCATTCCAAATCTCAGCAGTATAGAAGGTTAAAGACAGAATGGAGAACAAATGTCTTTCTCGGCAGATCTAGAATTCAGGTAAGAGTCATTGTTAATTATATATAAGTGCACAGTTGTGTGAACAATGACAGAGTGGCTCCCATAGGTTTTGTTAGCAGTATTTGACAATTTATACTTTTGTATTTCCTGAGTTCTACAGGAGATTGCAGAGGGGGATTTATTTATCATTAACCTATGATAATGTTTCTTATAAAGCAGAATAGCTTAATTGAATGAGAATATAATGAAATTCAGGCTGTCAAAAAAGGAAAGGGATTGTTAGGCTCACTGTTTAAGTGATAAGATATTTTAAAGACAAAAAAAGGAAAGGGATTGTTAGGCTCACTGTTTAAGTGATAAGATATTTTAAAGACAAAACTGAGATATGTTTGAAGAGATTACAAATTAATTCAGAGTTATTTCCCTTTGAATATAATTTTTGAATTATTTGCTGTATATTGTGCTGTACACTTTGATACATGTTTACATAAACTTATGTGATGAAAGTAAGAATCAAGGGGGAATCAAAAACCACAGAAAAACAGACAATAACATGACCAACAGAAAATAGATGAAAGGAAAAAAACAGTCAAGAAAGCACTGCATAGAAAACTGAAAATTGAGCAACATATGATCCCCCCCCCCCCAAAAAAAAGATGGTTGTATCAAGTGATCGGAAAGTGCATGTAGTTCCTGCTCCACTCATTGTCACCTTTCTTGTTGCTTATGACAAGCAAATATTCTGTGTTAAAACGTATTTCAATAATTTCCTGAACCAAGAAAGGATGAAAAATTTCTATTTTGAATGTGTTGATTTTACCATCCCTTGCCATTTTTTGTCACCTGAAGTTTGGGAGTTAATAAATTCGATCACAGGCTGGGTCAAACCTAAGACTTAAAAATTGCTAAGGAAGCTGCATTTAGTAGTAAAACCAAAGACTTATAGACTCATGGTCAGAATAATGTGTGTGAGTAGGGTGACATGTCTTCTTACAGATTGTTACTTTGTGAACTAGCAAGTTAAAAATTAATCTTAGAGTACAAAGAATGGTTCATACTCATATCACATTTAATGTTCTTGTTCTGAATATGGATTGAATTTTTCACAGGATGTTAAACATTCATCCATCCATTTATTATATGTAATAGCCTTATATTAATATGATATTTATTTTTTGTGTAGGGACTAGGGTTATTTGCTGCCCGTGATCTAGAGAAACATACCATGGTGATAGAATATATAGGCTATCTTATTAGGAATGAAGTAGCTAACAGATTGGAAGTTGTTTATGATGAACAGGTAAGAATATATAGGCTATCTTATTAGGAATGAAGTAGCTAACAGATTGGAAGTTGTTTATGATGAACAGGTAAGAATATATAGGTTATCTTATTAGGATTGAAGTTGCTAACAGATTAGAAGTTGATTATGATCAGTAGGTACTGTATTTAAGTTTTTCTAAATGAGTGAAAGTCATACTGACTTTTTAGACATGAAGTATATCTTCACGAAAGAAAAAATGAAAAAAATTGGTATTGCTCTACAAAAAATTCTTTAACCCTTATCTTTGTTCTAGAACATTGAAATGTTAAAGTAAAATTTACTTTCTTACAACTAAATGCTCATTTTTCCATTGACAAAGTTTGTGTAAAGTTTGAAAAAATATTTCCAAATGCCCCCAAAAAAAACTTATCTTTAATTTTTCACTTTCTCGTGAAAGCTTTTCACCTGCTTTAGACAGCTGTAGGCCTAAGAAGATATTGCGTAATAAAAGCCCTATTCCTTTGATGTTCAAATTTTTCTAGTATATTTTGAAATCTTTGTTTTGGGATTATCCCACTTCATTGTATTATAAATAGGATAACCACACTTTAGAAAAAAGTTCAAGCAGAAAAACAGGCATCTTATAAAAAATACAAACACATGGCAGAAGTGGAAGTTTTTTCCTTAAAAAAACAGTATTTTTTGTTCTTTTCCCTTGACAGATCTGCAAAGATGGGATTTTTTTAATCTGAAGAAAAGCATGCAATTGTATACATAAACATTTATAAAAAACTAATGAATAACTATTTCAAAATTTGTAGAATCGAGGTGTATATATGTTCCGTATAGACTCTGATATTGTTGTGGATGCCACTATGGCTGGAGGACCTGCTCGGTATATTAATCATTCATGTGATCCTAACTGTGTGGCCGAAGTTGTTCCTTTTGATAAAGAAAGTAAAATTATTATTATAACGAATCGTAGGATACCTAAAGGAGAGGAGGTTAGTATTCACAATAAGGTTAACAAAATATGTCATGCATTTCTAGTTATCAGGAAAATAGAATCCATGATATGAATCTCTCTTACTATGTTGATTACTCATATAGATTAAGTACTGTGGGAAATGGATTTTTTAATTTTTCAAACTTCTTTCACCTAACATGCCTAAGTTTAACTAAACAAATTCTAGGGTTTACATCAGTGAGGAAGCAACCCATTACCTGAATAAATCAGAGAGCATACTACAAGACAATTTACATTTTTCCACAATAAATAAGTGTCTTTCATGTGTCAGATATATGTAAAATTGAGAATGGAAATGGGGAATGTGTCAAAGAGACAACAACCAAACCAAAGAGCAGAAAACAGCCGAAGGGCACCAATTGGTCTTCAACACAGGGAGAAAATCCCGTGCCCGGAGGCGGGCTTCAGCTGGCCCCAAAACAAAAATGTTTACTAGTTCAGTGAAAATGGACGTCACACTAAACTCCGGAACATATAAATGAACTAAAATTAAAAAAAAACATACAAGACTAACAAAGGCCAGAGGCTCCCAACTTGGGACAGGCGCAAAAATGTGGCTGGGTTAAACATGTTTTGTGAGATCTCAACCCTCCCCCTATAACTCTAGCCAATTTAGAATAAACAAACACACAGCAATAGGCACAGTAAAACTCAGTTTAAAAGAAGTCAGAGTCCGATGTCAGAACGGGTTAAAGAAGAAACTAAGCAAAATGACAGTAGCATTTTTCATCCTTAAAATAAAAAATAATGGACATACAAATATTATTTTTTGTGTTGCATTTAATTGAAATTTTGTATTTTATTATATTTACATCAGATAGATGCTTCATAGGAATTACATAATTTTGATCAGCAGGAAGCAATCATACAGTATTATAAAGTGCTGTTTATTTTCCATTTGAATGCAACATTCTTTGCTGCATGTGCTCTCGATTACAATGGTATAACAATGCACAGAAATAATGAAAACAAAATGAACAAAAGCTTAATTTGAGGATGTAGTCAGGTGAAATTAGAAAAATCTGGAATTAATAATAGATGAGATAAATCACAAAATCATTAGTTATGGAACAAAATAAGCTAAAGATATTGATAGGTTATGGAACTCCTTTTTTGAGATATTTGATTTTTATACGACCGCAAAAAATTTTTGCGGTCGTATATTGCTATGACGTTGGCGTCGTCGTCGTCCGGCGTCGTACGAAGACACATTGGTTTTCGCACTCTAACTTTAGTTTAAGTGAATGGATCTCCATGAAATTTTACCATAAGGTTCAATACCACAAAAGGAAGGTTGGGATTGATTTTGGGGGTTATGGTACAAACAGTTAAGGAATTAGGGGCCAAAAAGGGGCCAAAAATAAGCATTTTTGTAACTTCCAGACATAACTTGTGTGTTAGTGTATGGATCTCTCTGACATTGTACCACAAGGTTCCATATCACACAGGGAATGCTGGGATTGATTTTGGGGGTAATTGCCTCAAAATATTAGGAATTAGGGGCCAAAAAAAGGGGCAAAAAACAAGCATTTTTCTAGTTTCATGACAATTACTTGTGTGTTAGTGTATGGATCTTTCTGAAATTGTACTACAAGGTTCCATATCACAAAGGGAAAGCTGGAATTGAGTTTGGGGGTAATTGCCCAAAACGTTTAGGAAAAAGGGGCCAAAAATAAGCATTTTTCTAGTTTCCAGACAATAACTTGTGTTCAAGTGAATGGATCTCTCTGAAATTGTTCCACAAGGTTCCATATCACACATGGAATGCTGGGATTGATTTTGGGGGTAAGTGCCTCAAAATATTAGGAATTAGGGGCCAAAAAAAGGCAAAAAACAAGCATTTTTCTAGTTTCATGATAATAACTTGTGTGTAAGTGTATGGATCTTTCTGAAATTGCACTACAAGGTTCGATATCACAAAGGGAAATCTGGAATTGAGTTTGGGGGTAATTGCCCAAAACGTTAAGGAATAAGGGGCCAAAAATAAGCATTTTTCTAGTTTCCAGACAATAACTTGTGTTCAAGTGTATGGATCTCTCTGAAATTGTACTGCAAGGTACCATACCACAAAGGGAAGGCTGGGATTGAGTTTGGGGGTGATGAATCATAAGGAGATTCAAAAAATTTGGGGGGGGGGGGGGATTTTTTTTTTTTTCCTTTTTTTTTCTTTTTTTCCTTTTTTTTTTCTTTTAAAATTTTCCATTTTAAGTTGGTTATTTCTGTTTTATATTTAAAAGCAAATAATAATGATATGGTAGGAGATACACCCCAAACAGGATGTGTAAATTATTATATAATAAGTATTGTGCAATAGCAAGAAATTTTCAATTGCACAGTATTGCACAATAGCAAGAAATCTTCAATTGCACAGTATTGCGCAATAGCAAGAAATCTTCAATTGCACAGTATTGTGCAATAGCAAGAAATATCCAATAGCACAATATTGTGCAATAGCAAGAAATTGTCAATTGTACAGTATTGCGCAATAGCAAGAAATATTCAATTGCACAGTATTGTGCAAAAGAAGATACTTCGTATAAATTGCTTATTTCTTGACCAATTTCAATGGGGTTTTATTCTTGAATTCTTGGGGTTCTTTAATATGCTGATTCTAACCGTGTATTAAGTTTTTGGATTTTGGGCCCCGTTTTTAAATTGGTCCACATTGAGGTCCAAAGGGTCCAAAATTAAACTTAGTTTGATTTTAACAAAAATTGAATTCTTAAGGTTTTTTTGATATGCTGAATCTAAACATGTATTTAGATTTTTGATTATGGGCCCAGTTTTCAAGTTGGTCCAAATCGGGGTCCAAAATTAAACTTTTTTTGATTTCAACAAAAATTGAATATATGGGGTTCTTTGATATGCTGAATCTAACCATGTATTTAGATTTTTGATTTTTGGGCCCCATTATCAACTTTGTCCACATTGAGGTCAAAAGGGTCCAAAATTAAACTTTGTTTGATTTCATCAAAAATTGAATTCTTGGGGTTCTTTGATATGCTGAATCTAACCATGTATTTAGATTTTGGATATTGGACCATAATAGGTGAATGTCCAATTTAAAATTTTGAAGTTCTTAGACCACATTCATTCTGTGTCAGAAACCTATGCTGTGTCAAATATTTAATCACAATCCAAATTCAGAGCTGTATCAAGCTTGAATGTTGTGTCCATACTTGCCCCAAATGTTCAGGGTTCGACCTCTGCGGTCGTATCAAGCTGCGCCCTGCAGAGCATTTTATTAAAAAATGGTGGGAAAAGGCTGATTCAGACTTTTACCTTATATTTAGCATTGGCATTATTTGGGTCTCAAATAGTAAGAAAAGAAATCTAGAATCAGCTTAAATTTTGGTACTTATCTTTTATAAGCTATTGAAGTCTTCTATGAAAAGAAAAGTGGGTGAAATGGGGCAAAATATTTTATCCTGTATCGTAGGAAAAAACCCAAGGAGTCCGAAATCTGACAAAAATTCCTAAACCTGACATAACTACATGTACATCCTTAACATACTTTCCTGGTTTAAACATTATAATGTAATTATTGGTATATAACTTTTTTCATAAAAAGTGTTAAAGTTTGGGACTCTGACGGTGCACATTTTCAGATTGAAGGGTTTGCATGCATCATAAAATATGTGCTTTAGACAATGCTTTTAAACCCCAATAAAACTACAAAAGAAGCATTCAAAACTTTAAATAATATGTTAAAGGATTCATTATTAAAAGAGATATACCAAAAAAAATCCACTGAAAGTTTTTAAAATTTATTAAATATTCATTTGATTTTTTGTTTCTTTTTTTCAGCTTACTTATGATTATAAATTTGACTTTGAAGATGAACAACACAAAATTCCTTGTTGTTGTGGTGCTAAACGATGTCGAAAATGGATGAACTAAAATTTTGACAAAGGTAGATAACTGCATTATGGAAAGAGTCTTGACAACTTTCAAGTATTTATGTGAATTATCTAGAGAAATTGTTCAAATAGTTAATTTATAAGATAAAGTGTTACTTCACAGAACAAATATTGGTGTCAGTGACAACTATTGACAGAAGATGAGAATGAAGGAAAATAACCAGAAAAGAGAGAAACAGGTCCTCGAAATGTCAGGAAATCTGGAATGCAAACAACAGAGAGTTCAGAAAGAATAGAGTGTTAAGAAATAATGAATTTTGACAAATATATTTATATGAAATACTTTTATATGAATTTGTAGAATGAAGGAAAAAACCTAAAATTGGATTTATATGTCAATTGTTAGTTTTATAATATAATGTCTTCTTGATAAATATATGTAGAAGGAAAGGAAAAACTGAAATAAGGGCATGTTTTTTTATACTCCTGTAAGAGAAGGACTGCCACAAACTTTGTGTCTATGCATTTTACTTTCACAACTGACTGTTTGCTGCTAATAGTCTCGTAGATTTTGGTATTTCTAGAATATTGTATAGTTTTCCATAAAACAGACAACGGTTCTTCTATTTATTGAAATGATAGATAAATATATTGACCATGCATGTATGACACATGCAGTATTGAAATTTCTTTTTTACATAGTTAATTACATAAAAGATGATAGACAACTAGAAAAAAAAATGATGATAACCTTAAACTTTTTAAAAAATAATTTTTTAATTTAACTTTTTTCTTTTCTTTTGAGAGAAATACAAATATCACTGTACCATTTTATATTAAAGTGCTAAAAAGATATAGTAAATGCACAAAATATATTGGAGAAAGAAAAGGAATTTTTTCTGTTTTTTTTTTCTTCACTATTGCCAAAATTGATTTGGGGGGTTTACAGATATATAAAAAAAAATACAGCTGAAAAACATTAAGGTCAAGCTAGTCATTAGATTTGTTTAGTTGTTCAATCTTACAAATGATTTCATTAATTTAAAATTTCTGGTTGAGTATAAAATCTGGTTTTAAAAATGGTTCGAGGAAATTGCGAACTATCAGTTCTTCAGGTTTTACTTGTAAAATTTACGACCTTATACTTACAGACAAATAGATAGCAATAATGTCATATTTTCCATCGACTCAGATGTAAATCACATTACAGCATTAGTATTCATTTGAATTTACCCCATCATTGTAGTTATATCAGTAGAAACAGAAGAGGCATTTTTGACCTAGATTCCATGGTTCATTGAACATTAATCCATTCATGAAATTTGTACAAAGTGCATGAATTATATCATGTATATATAGCGAGGATCTCATAGAATGAGATGACATCAACCTTTCTCAAGGTACAGAATAAAATGTGTTGGTTGAAGATGTTCATGTTGAAATCCACCTCAAATGACATTCAGTTTCATCCAAAACAGAGAAAATTTCCATGTCACAAATTTTCCATAATTATTGAATTTTAGATTAGAATGGTTATTTTTGTAGGTTTTTCTTTTTTATCTGATTGCTGTGTGAGTGTTTGGAATAAGATAATGGCCGGTGGTTGAAATAGTGAATTGATATTATTTTCAAATATGCAGTTTTCACTTCTTTATATTTTAGACGGAATAATGTGTGGATTGTGGAATATCATAGCCAGACATTTATCACAGAATTTTCTGCCCATTCCTCAATAATTTAGGCTAAATATGAGTGCTTTAAAAAAGCCTTTTTAGAAAGATTTCTTTGTTTTTCTTTCCTTCAATGTTCTCTTTATTGTCAGTTTTGTTTTTGATGTGTAAATCAGAATTGCTCCAAACTTACTGCGTAAATAGTTAGGGATTTTTTAAAATGATGTATTTGTTTTACATATTTGTGCAATTAAAGATTGTTTGTGAACATATTAATCAGATAATTATTGTTTAGATATTTCTTTATATATTTTGTGGTTTGAACTTTGAACTTATATTGAGTGAGTGTTTTCATATCAGTTTCTGTAGGTTGTACTGTTGCATTATAAATGAATCAACAAAATATAACGTTGTCTGTATGATAAGGGATTATTCCATTAAAATAAAGGTAAGAAAGGCATGGGTTGTTGGGTCTGTTTAAGTGAGAAAAACATTTTTACCGACCATGCGAGATACTCATGGGTAGTCAAGGTCGTTAAACACCTCCTAGTATGTTAAATTTCCATATGATGTAAGCAAATTTACTAAAAAGAAAGTAGATTGCATGTTGATGGATTTTTGAAATTCTTTCTTCTCCTCCCACATGAATTTTAATGGAATATCCCTAAAGCAAAAACAAAATATTCAAATCAATTTAAACTAAAATAGGCAAATTTTTAATAATTGTTTGATAAAGAAAAGAAAAAAATAAGAGATTTAACAAATTCTTTTGCAAAATTTTAATTTTCTGTCAATTTTTAGTGGGGAAAAAATGGCATTAAGTAGCTTTCTTAATTTGAATTTAATTGAAACAAAAATTGTTAAATGGAAATAAATACAACATGATGGTTTTGTCATTCGTTCGTCAAAAACAATCTAAACATGAACTACACTGTGTTTTCCAAATGAACTGGAGTAAAAGTGAATATTAAACAGAATTTAGGAGGGGGTGTTTAATAACTAATATTATTTAATTACGTCTAGAGAAAATATTAACAATAACTGTAGTCTGAGTCAGAAAATTAGGCAAGAATAATTTATTTATGATATATCATACATTTAAAGCAAATAACCATGCTTAAATGCTTGTGTACATGGCGAACATGCCCACACTTATAAAGTACATGTGTACATATGAATATACTAGTATAAATTTTGTACAAGTTAACCATTGAATGTCTTAATAGCTGTAAAATTTATATTCCATTATTTAATTCAATCATTATCTACATAAAACATTTCATCTTCACACATTCATATTTATAAATAATATGCAAACTTTATATTGTCGGATGTTATGTTTGGAAGCATAATAAATATTTAGCTACCTCAAGACAGTTGAAATTGATTTTCTATAAATAACATTTTCAATGTATGTTTAATTTTTTACAGTCCAAACAGGCCGTACATTTCTTATAAATCCCAAATATGATACTCATTTTATTAAGAAATATCATTTCTTGCATATATACCAGAGAATTATTTGTCAATTATCTCCCTTTAATAGGTTGTGTGTTTGAGTTATCTCCCTGTAAGACATTGTGTGTTTGAGCTTATTTTATAATTTTCAGTGCTCAACACAATCCCTGACCAGAGGCTTAAGTGGTTCCTCCATTAAACATCTTTGAGTAGTATTTAATATTAGTCTGAAATATCAACCCTTCAACTTTTTTCTTTTACCTTTCAAAGTTTTCTGTAAAGGGAAGGATCACAAAATATTTTTATGCATCGCAGTGAAAAAAAATTGAAATTTTTTGGATAATTTAAAAATATATTTAGTACGGTGAAGATTTAGCTTCTGTTCTCAGTTATAAGATTGTTACAAGATAGGAAGCACAGGTTCTGGTGAAAAAGAAATGTTGATTCTTAAAGAGGAAAACAACCTTCTCTTTAAAGAGTGAACAAAAGGGAGGCTATCTATAATTTTTATATGTACCCAAGTTAAAGGTAGATAACTGACCAATGTATCTCACAATGAAACAAATAAATTATATTTTTTAAAGATGATCCTACTAAGGCAACCATTAATGATAGTGAAAGCTTAAAAATTAATGATAGTTTGAATTATATTAGAAATACATCAGCCGATTAAAAAATAATCATATTAGAATTTTTATTTATAACAAAAGATTAAAGCTTTTACCTGGGTTGCGTTCAATATCGTAGCGGCTACGTAGATTTATGACTATTGAACGAGTAGCTAGCCTAGCTGCTATCAATATCTATGTAGCAGCTAGGCTAGCTACACGTTCAATAGTCATAAATCTATGTAGCCCTATGTAGCCGCTACGATATTGAATGCATCCCTGATCATCTGATAATTAAAACATGTATTTTAACTTTATAGAGCATGTGCTGCAACTAAAATTGTTTACAGCAATTTCAATTTTAGAGATGTTGACTTCCCTCAAGGCCCTAAAATGCTAAGGCTCAATAAAGAGCTAAAGGGAAGTTATGAGATTCAAAGTTGAATTTTATTTTTAAGCAATGGGAAACAATTTGAACATTGCAACTATGAATTATATTCGTAAAGACATTTAAAGAACAGAAATGAAGTAATTTAAAGGCATTATGCATTATATTTCCAAAATAATCCAATGTGTAAATTTTTATTTCCCCTGGTCAAGCTGGACAGGGAATTTTTTCTGCTCCTTAAGGAATCACTAGAAATGGTATTTTCAACACAGGCTCTATACATGTATTAAAGATTATAGTTTGTTGCTTTACCAAAGTGTTTTATATTATTGATCAAAATGTAGAACATACTTAATTTTTAAAGCCTGACAGCTTGGAAACAATTGTTTTGCTTTAATAGCAGAGTTCTTTGACAAATGGTTTTATGTAGAATTTGGAAGAAACACTAATTAAAATTGTAGTCACCGTTTTTTTTTAATAAAAGAAAATTTTAATGATTTTGATGTATAATAGGGTAAAAAATTCCATTTAATTTTAAATACCTCATCCACTTTCTACAGAATCAAGGCTCGGTTAAAAAAAGTTTTAAAACTGGTTACTCATCTAATTACACTCTATTAACCCAAACTCTGTCTTTAGTTTGTCCTTTAAGGATTTAATTGACCATTTCAGAATCTAAAGGACTGGGTAATTCAATGTTCCTACTCCAAAATAGAATATCCTTACAACATTCGTTGAATTACGGAATAACAGTGCTGTAGTTGAAGAGTTGTCGTTGTCAATTGGCGATTTGATGGTCTCAAATGCAGTTTTTACTGGCGACATGTAGTGGAGCCAGTAAAACGGATATTTGCGACTATCAAATCCTAATTGATGACAACAACTCTACAACTACAGTACTGTAATGCTGATTTTAATGCATTACAAAAAGAAATAATATGTTAGAACTTGAAGAATATCTATAAATCTATAATTAATTAAAATTCTGAGAAAGTTCATGAATGATTTTGGCTTATAAACGTCATGGGTAAACGTGACATCATACAAATGACAACCCTCAAACTGAATTTCTACGATTCAATTTTGGATTAAATCACATCAAAACAGCATTTTTGGGGTAGGTGTTGTTTTATTTTTTATTATATTGTAGTTATAAAACATTTGTTGATTCAAGCAATTCAACATGGCGGCTCATTCCTTAGTTACGACATTTCAACAGTGGATTTGATGGTAAATTTTAGCCAATGAAAAAAATTATTACATAAAAATTGCATTAGAATTTCCATTGTTTAGGACGTTTTTAACCAATCAAAAAGTTTTGGTGTACACTTTAGAAAATATTACCCAGAATGCATTAGGTTCTCAAATGACTAATTATCTTTGGGCAACATTTTCAAAAGCATACACTAAGATATTTTGGATGTTTGAAAATGCATCCAAGGGAGGTAATCCAGTCATTGCTATGGTGTTTTTATTTTGACATAGGCATTTTTTTTTACTCATAGTTCTTTAGCATCTGAATTTGAGCGAGAACCTTATATTCCTTTTAACCTATGGATTTGGGAACGTGCCTAAAAATCCTTAAGTATCTGAATTTGGGCAAGAACCTGTCAATAACAGCACCATTATGTACATTGATCTGCGCAGGCTTTTTGCTGTACAATGCTTGTGTGAGTATTTATTTCTGAGGAATGACAATTTGATGTGTTTGCAGTTTTATTCCATTGCATAATTATATGAAGTATTGTACTCTGTTGTTTGTTTGAAATGTTTTGTGCTGGAATATCTATTGTTAATGTCATATAGATTGATATAGTTGCTCAGTTTTAATAGAATTCCATATGTCATAGTACTAAGGACACATTTATAGTTCATTGATTTCATTTATTTATTTATCCAAATTTTATAGTCTGACATATGTTGGGTGATTTCATCTTAATTTTGCCTGTGACTGATGTAAAGTTGAGACATGTAAATATCCAGGGTATGTCAGACTCAATATCTCGTATATATAACATATGAAATGTTAACGAGAACTGTGTTCTATTTGTGCAAATAGTTCTGATGGAATAAGAGAGCCATTACAGAATTTGGCTTATTCTGCTGTCTTGTAGAAAGAGGCAAGCTACCCTTTCATCTTTCAAAGTGATTATTGAAATACATGTTATAAAGTAGATATTAAAAATGTAGTTTCAAAACAAACCTGTTCTGGAATGTTTATGGTTTTTTTTTTTTTAGTTTTGATTATTTATAAGTGTTTGAAAATAGATTTTTTGTATTTCACAAACTCCTGTTTGATAGTTTACAGTAAAATTTGAACTCAAAGTATGAGAAGCAATTATGAATCATTAGATATAGCAGGCCTGCTTGATTGTAAAAGTAGAGAAGGGTGTTGTGACACTGAATGACATTTTGCCCTCATTTGAAAATGAACTATAAATGAGTCCTTAGTGTTTAGCAGTTAACATACCATAGTAGATACCATTAAGTAGAAATGATTAAGAACTTTAACATTAAATATAAGTTGTACAAAATCCTGTTTTATTTGTGAAATGTTTATTCAATTTGTAAATAATGTACAATTTGTCTGTCAGATGATCTTTACATTATAAATATTTTATACCAACTTATATTAGATATTTGTTATTATGTGTCAAACATTAGTCAGTTGTTCTCAGATCATTTCATAGATGTTGTATGTTTTAAAGATTTTCATATTCTAGATGTAGGTGAAAAATTTTGTTACTTTTTTCCGTTTGTAAATTATACATTGTATGTATTTCATTAGCACATCAGTTCTACAGATATTTTTCACATATTTAGGAGGAGTTTTACCATTTGAAATTTCTTGAAAATTCCTTTGAAATCAGATTTATAATCTTAAAGTATGTATATTTCATTCCTACTATTTTTCATAAATTTTTGTTTGATAATTCTGAGTGATAATTTTCCTTAAGCTACTGGAGTTGAGTGAGTAGAATGTGATGACATCATAAGCTCATGTCGGTGACATTGCCTTAGAAAATAGAGATAAACAGATTGACTATGGTCTTTAAAACTTGAAGAACAAAAAATTATTTATAATTATGCAGAAAAATTAATGGAGCAAGTCATCAACACCACTTTGAAATTTGTGCAAGAAACAAACTAAGGATTCATTTAAAATACCTTTTCTGTCAACAGTTCACATTTAACTATTTGAACAGTTACCTCTAAGGCAAATAAATATATTTTGAAGGGCTAGTTTTAACTTCTATGTAATATGTAGCTAACTTTATTGACAAGCTCACCATCAATCTGTTAACCAATGCAGACAGATCCAGATTTTTTTTTATTTTGATAAGAAGGTGAGAGGGTAAAATCAAAATGACACGGTCATTTTTACCATCATACAACATGTATATAGAAAAATTCCACATTTAACCACTTTTTGTCAAATTTAGAAGGAGGTTGTCTGGCACACCCCTTAAATCAAATCCGAACAAGGATTTTTAATTAAATAAAAATCCCCTATTTGTAAATTGCTGATTACTTAACCAATTGAGTGTTTGACGAATTACATAAAGGCAATAAATTTTATACAAAGATTTTGTATTTAGATATTGTTGAAATTAAAGTAGCTAACTTTTGTATGAATGTTGTTAGATCCCTCTTTGTATTGTACAGCCTATGACAAATTATTTTGCAATCATTATTTAGAAGAATAACTTTGAAATGTGGAAATGCATTTTTAACAGCTGTACTTCTGTGTGTCCCACTATCTCAGGAGAGTTTTTTTTTAGGTGAAAATATCTGTTCAAACAACAAAAAGGACCCCAAAATGTTCTTTATCTTAAATGAAGACATTCATATTTAACTTTTTTTATTGAAAAAAAAATCACCAATTATCTTTTAACATTATTTTTATTGTCTCGACATGTTTTAATGTTGTTTTTTGTGTAAACAAATAGCGTCATCAAAGAAGATGCTGTCAGAACCAAAGTTTCTGCTTCAAAATTTTGAAGATTCATGCATCTTTATAAAATTTTACTTATTTATAACTTCTTGATAATTTAATGCTTTCCACTAAGTATTTTATCTGGATTTAGTTGGACACATAGTATTTTTTAAGTAGCAGAATAACTAAATTTGGTAAACTTAGTTGCAACACTGGAAATGTTTTACACTATGCTTAATAATGCCATTGAAAATTTGTTATCTTTTTACAGATCATCAAATATAAACAGATGTTTTTGATCTATATGAGGGTCTGGATCTTTGGGGGGGGGGGGGGGGCTTTATGTCTGTATCCTTTAATTTTTTTGGCTCTTTTCTTTTTTTACCCATTGTTCTCTATTCTTTTTTGGGGGGCTTATTTTTCTCTACTGTTTATCTTTTTACCCTTTACTCTCTATTCTGTGTACCCTGTCTAAACCCTCCTATATCACTTGGTTTAATAGAACACATGTGCATCACTTATGGGCAATCACAACTTGTTCTGTGTTTATCGGGGAAACAAGAGGCCTACATCAATATTCATTATCTATTTATATTGATCTTTATTAAGTAGTGAACTTTCAATACCATTTTTAAACACTGTGTATTTGTCAGTTGCAATTAAAACAAATTGAATTTGTAATATCATGTATAGTTGATATCTTCTGAACTTCAAGTCTCGACTCTTCTTTTTCCTTTCTTCTGCTGTGACATTTTATAAGGTTTTTATATTTAGTGTGTAGGAGAAGTTAGAAATATTTGTACAAAAAAATGTATTGAATTTCCTTACTTATTTTCTAATAAACTCAGGCCTGGTTGCCTAATTGTAAACTATTATAATGTGAATAATTTATATAATGAATTTTAATACTTGGTCAGAGGATCATTAACAAAACAGAAATTCAAAACATGAATTTTAACTAAAATATACATTCAATATTCTAAACTCCATCATTTTTCAGCTCTGGTTGTTTTCATGTAAATGTATAATAAATTCACAATGTTAAATTATGTAAAATTCATTTTTTAGTCTTTTTTTTTGTATGTAAATTTCACACAATAAAATCATGTAAGTTTCATGTATTATCCATCTTAACATATAGTGCTATCAGCAGACGATTGTAATTATATCAGAATAAAATTTTATCACATGTTTATTAGTGTTTATTTTGTCCCTGACAGTGTCCATTTGTAGGAAGCTACACATATGAACCACTATATGAGCAATTCATTTCAGGTAGGCTTAGGTATTGGTAGCTTTTTCCTCAACTCCTCTGCCTATGTCATATAAACTTGGATATGTATTGTAGCTCCTATAGGTTGTGATGGTGTCAGTCATATAAAAATGGAAAAGAAAAGATGATAAATTCATAACACAAACTTGACAAAACAAAAGCAAAAAGTAAAATAACAAAAATACTGAACTCGCAAGGAAAATTCAAAACGAAAAGTCCATTATCAAATGGCAAAAGCAAAAGCTCAAACATAAAACGATTGGAAAACAACTGTCATATTCCTGACTTGGTACAGGTTTTTCCTTATGTAAAAATTGGGGTATTAAACATGGTTTTATAGCTAGCTAAACCTCTCACTTGTATAACAGTCGCAGAAAATTCCATTATATTGACAACAATGTGTGAACAAAACAAACAGACATAATAGGTAAAAATGTCAAAAGTAGGGGTACAGCAGTCAACATTGTGTTATAATCTTAATCACTATAAAAACAAACCAATATGTCAACAAAGAAAAACAAAATGGCATATAGACAAAGCACATAAGCAAAAATGAAAGACAGGAATACAAAAAATGACCATAGCACAATACCACAATGGCGGGTTGTACAAGTACCGAGCCACGTCAAAAGGATATTACCAAAAATAGACTAAAAAGTAAGGTTAATAATTTACAAAGACAAATAAATGAACACTATAACACGTATTTAAGATGATAAATAACGTCAGTACCTAAAGTCTATCATATATAGACCATCATGTATTATTTGTGAAGTTTATACAAGTTATTTATCAACAAGGTCTTGGTATCTTCCGATGAACTTTTTTAGAAAAAGGACGAGACGTTCTTTGACATAACCCTGGTTCATCAACTTTCTGCTCGGACACTGTTGACGTTTTATAAAGTCTGAGTAGCAGTGATGAATGAGTTGGGAAAATATATATCCCATATGCAAATGAAGTTGGTATATGGCTACTAAGGTGAGGGAAATTGATAATTACAAAATTAAAACCGTCTCGTTTGTCATAGATTCTGGTACTGAGATGACTACATATATCAAATTCGATGTATAAGTCTAAAAATGAGGCGGAGGAAGCTGAAATTAAATGATCTGGCCCTTGCAATAACTCTCTTCGGGATCCGTAGGTTGTCTGTTGCAAGACAAAATTTAATGGAATGCAGTTTATTATTGATTGTTTGTTGCTTGCTAAACGTCAAGTGACAAATAATTGAAGCATAACCATGACGTAAACCCATTAACAATTAATACAATAGATAGGCTCTGCAATGTAGGTTGATCTGAATGCAAGGTTACAAATTTGGACTGCCACTGAGAAATGAGATTATGATGGATATGGCAAAATATTTGCCTTGCAAACAAACCCAAAGGGAGTTGTTGCAATGGTTCTTTGACGTGGAGAGAGAGTGGCACTCTCCCTACATAAGGCGTCAGGTTTAACGCCCTAATTCCAACTTTACGTGGCAGCGTAACTATATACCCGGAAAGGCAATCACAGACCACACTTAAGCAAGGAATTAACCGTTGGATGTTTATGTTTATATATCCTAGTCAACACTTGGGTTGTAAATAGCAAAATGATCAGCAATACCAGTTATAACAAAATGCTCTTCGCTTTGTCTTTCAGATTAAGACACCCATAAAAGTGCGATTTGTGTTTTGTCAAGTTGGTGTTATGAATTTATTGTCCTTTCTCTTCTCATTTTAATATGACTGAAACCATCACAACCTATAGGAGTTATTGCCCATATCTTGATAACCATCATTTATAGATAGACAAAAACAGTCAGAATGGAATGATCAGCAATTCAAGATCTACTATGAAAGAAACTGTTTATTTGAGTTATTTCCCTTTATTGAAATTTTTAATATTAAAGATTGCATCAGTTGCAAATAAATTCCTTAATTTACTGATTGGTAAGCTACATTTCAGCCATCTTATATATACATGTCTATTTGTGAGTACTCACATGGTGCAGTGAGGTAAACATTCAATATGTGTTAATGGCGTTATAGTGACATCACAATTGACACTAGGGGACATCCATTTGATTTACGGGGTGTGGGGGAGGGGGTAGGAGAATTTTGAAAATGAATACACTGGCCTGTAAAAGCTAAAAAGAGCTAAACTTGCCCAAGACAGGATTAAAATGAAAATTCTGCGAAACAAAAAACAGGAAATAATTTTTTACGAAAGTGAAAATAAATAAACATGCGTATCAACAGAGTAAAATTAATATTTAATCCGCATAAAATAAATCCTACCCCCCCCCCCCCCCCCCCCTTTTCCCTGAATATCAAATGGTCGTCGCCTTAATTCTGTTCAATATATCACCCTATTTAGTTGTTAACAGAACCACTAGTTCATTATTTTGAAAGGAATCAAGAATTTTTACCTTTTAAGGAATGACACTTATCAAACCTCCTAATTTTGCTTAATTTTATACGAGGAAAAATGTAGATTGCAAAAGGCAAATCGGTACACCGCCCATTCTTTAACTACTTTGTAAATCTTCTTAGGGACCCTAATTTCAGAAAGGATGCACTATACAATTGAATATTATATTATTTTTCCACTCGACAGGGGCAGATCTAGAAGGGAAAACGCTGAAATATTCTTTTCAGTTCAAGCATTCATTTTCAGTAGCAAACTTTTTATCTTATATGATCATTTGTCTTTGTTCGACAAGTCATGTCAAACATACTTGTGTCACTTTATAAAAAGGTACTTTACTATTGTTTTTGGCCGCTGATTCTTACAATTCATCTGATTACTTAATTTTCGTGTGTTCACATCTTTATTTGTTTCTTTTTTATTTATTATTGTCAACTGATATTGTCTATATCATTGAAGTTCTCTTGTCTCATTCATTGATTATAATCTCTTAGCTTGAGTATTTAACATAATGACTGAAATGTACTTATTTCCATTAGGCAACGAATAAATTTAAGCTAAAAACTAAATTCCGAATCCTATTAATGATTCAAACTTTATCTTCGTGTCAATTTTTATATCAAATCCTATGACTCGTGAAGGCAGACTACCACGCTAGCTACCTTTACATTAAAGAATCCTTGCAATAATAACTCGTTGTGAGGTCCGCATATATCCTGTTGCAAGATAATTTTCTGCCATTATATAACATTTCAAGTGTAAGTCCAAATTTAATGTGCTGTATTCCGGTTAATTCTATTAGTAAATCTACCAATTGCATTGATTTTTACTTGATCTCGCCCATAAAGTGCATGCCATATTTGCCATAGGGCGATAAACAATCAACAATCGACCAATCAACCCATTAATTTGTATTGTATTCTTGCACATGTTTATATTAACATTAACAAGAGGAGTCAAATATTCATTGGTTTGCCGAAGGACGGTACATATCAGATATATAACTCCGCGGGCACAGATCTGTATCAAAGAAATTTAAATGGGATTTGGGGGGGGGGGGGGAGAGAGTCATACCAGGTTCAACCAGGAAAAGGAAGATCCAGCCAAGTAAATGCCAATTTTTACGTGATTGAGCCAGGTATCGTTTTGCTATGCATTTTATTCTCATTTCCGTCATATAACTCTTTACATATCCAGATATTTATAAATCCTTGGTATCATTTCGGTGAGCGTTCATGCTGAATGTTACCCACGGAAAGTGCTTCGGACGCAGCAATTTATAAAGTGTTATTTTCATATTATCAGTTCGGTTATTTATGATGAAATTCTCATAAGATGAACTTGTATCAAGAATGGCGGAGGGAGAAATTAGCGAACTTCTGAACGTGTGGAATACTTTATACATCTACTTATATTATCGGTTAAAATCAGAAAACACCAAATTGAAAGGAAAGAAAGAACGTTTTTCTCGTGTATATTTGCTTTCATAATATCAGTTGGAAAGTAAAGAGAAGTTATATACAATCGAGAGATACAATCACACCAATCTGATTAAAATTTAGATCTATCGTACTCACTAACTCTTATGAGCCTAGCAAAATCAGCGATCTATATATTTTAATTAGATTGTCAGCGCACATGATTACCATCAAGTTAAGCGAGACGTTTAGGTTCAAGTATTGCAATTTGAAAATATTCTTTCATATTAGTTTATCACTTATACAATTTAAACTCCCACAGTTATAATACAAGAGGGGATAATTTGATAATATATCTGGCACCCAAGGCTTTCACAAACTGTAAACATAATGTTGAATGAAATGAACTTTTTAATAAGAAAAGACGCTAACCCACTTCAAATCGAGTGAGACAAATTTTGAATGAGTACAAATTGATCGATTACACAGATTCAATTCATAAAAATTATACAAGGTTCATTTTATTGTATATCTATATAAGTATTTTTGCATCGCCATGGTATGCAATTCTCTCTCTGTGTATCGCATATAATAGTCGTAATTCTCTTTGTACTGGTTTCTGTTTGAACTGGGTGCACAATGTTTTTAGCAGTGGGATATTTATGATTCGCCAAATTTGATTAAACTTTTAAATCAACGCCAGCTGTCGATAATAGCCTACATTATACCCATGGTTTGCACGAACAAAACTGAAAGAAGACTGATAAATATATTTTGGATGGGACCAATAGTGTGGTGGAGATTCAATATGTCCTCTTCCATATATCCGCATTCTATTACCCGTTTGATTTCTTTGGTTTTTTTTCCTTTAGCATTTGACTGCTACTTATTGTCTTGTTTATTTCCTTTTCTGCAATTCTTTCTTTCTCTTCGACTTTTTTTTCGAGTTCTTTCTTGTGAGTTTCCACAACAATAACCCTATAAAATAGCATCATATACTAGTAAACTGTTGTAAATTGATCACCCAAACCGTTAAAATAGCATAACTAAATGTTTTTCAGATAGAATTTCTGATTCTTAACAAGTA